AAATATTTATGAAATTTATAGTTCTAATTAATCTTTTAGTTTTTACCGTTATAAAAATACGGCACGCAGACATGCAATCTGTGAATACTTTGAAGATGATAGGACAGTTTGTTTTTCATGGACATTTTTTCTTTGTTTCCGCAAACCCTGGGAAACTGCACTTCAGATTTTGGGGAGGTATGCCTGGTATTTTCCTCATGTTTTCGTGAGAACCCCTGTTTATTCCTGTGTTACAAATGAAGAGAGCGACGGTCAATATTTGTCATCTGATGTCATCAGATTACCTAAGCTTTAATTACCCAGTCAATATTTGTCCTTAACACACCATTACAGGGTTTCACTCAGGACATTGTCCGGGCTTCCTGCCTCTTTCTTATAGTTATCCTCAAACCAAACATGTGCCCGAAGACAAACTTTGACCATGTCAGATGTCAGCCGGTATAATTACGCAATAGTGATTCTAAAATATTGTTTTGGATTGAGGTTTTCTGGCCTGATCAGAATTTCACAAGTAATTGATACTCAAACATAGACAAAGACTTTTATACAAAATAAGTTCAAATAAACAAATGTCTGGAAATTTGTTTCCTTACAAGACTCTTAACACCCTAAAGGGAATTAACTGGAGACATTGAGTTGTGTCCCCTTAAAGAGCAAATCATATCAAGAATGTTTAAAAGTCTTCCAGTATTTGATGAATAATTAAATTCTTAAAAGAGATTTTTTAAACACAAGCTCATTGAGTCACATGGGTTGTTTGTTAAAGAAATGGTGTCCTTCAGCAGAATAAAAGTTAAGATCCCAGCGGCGTAAGTGGGAGCTATTGAGAGAGCTATGCAAATTATCTTTGGTAATGCAGTCCTCGTGTTTAAGAAATATCTGTCTTTTTTTCTAAAGACAGCTTTCGTGAAGTGCCCATTTATTTACCTAGTATGTCTTTGAATCAGAAAAGCTTGGAATTACCTGGCAGTGCAAGTAGATATGGTTAAAATAAACAATTCTGAAATACGTGCTACTCAATCACAACCCTCACAGACATATTAAATATTGCCGAATGTCTTGTCTCTCTAATGGTAAATTCTCTAGGCATGAAATTGATATGATCATTTTTTATTTCATGTGAATGTTCAAAAAAAAATTTTATTCAAGTTTTGGTATATTTCAAAATGATAACGGAATACAAATATTGACATTATTACGGCTATATCTGAAAAGTACAGAGAGCTTTGATAAAGAGTGTTGAAAATATAGAATTGCAGGAGCTAGTGCAAATAGGTGTCAGTTGGCAGGGAGGTGTAAAAAATGGGACTCAAATTTGAATGCAACAGTTTATGATGGTTAGAAAAGTATATTCATTTGGTAGAATTTCGAAACATAGAAAATGAAACATTCCATGAAACTTGTAACAACAGTTGGATAGAATTTGGGTAGGGATTTTAAAACAATGAAAATGAAACATTTCATGAAATAACAACAGTTGGTATGGTCCTGGGACAATAAATCCACAAAATTGTTAACATCCTTCACAGTTTAAAGCTATACCGACAGACAATAGTTTGTTGACAGTGTAGATGACTGATCATATTAGTCATATTCTGTGTAAAGGGTATCGTATTTCTCCTTGGTAAATTTATAAAATCAGTTATATGGAATATTTTATTCAAAAAACCTCTTCTAGTAATTTTATAATTGGATTTTGAATGCATTTTCTTTTACATAATGTTATTTACATTTTAACTTTGCATTGAGAAATTGAACGGTAAATTTATGAAGTCCATATTATCCCATTTGGATTAGGGATAATCTTTTTTTTTGTGAGAGCTATAGTGTTAGGCCTGTCCCAGTAATTCTTTCTCAGGTCTCTATACAAGAAGATCAGTCCAGCTATTGTTATAGGGCAGCCCTAGATCTGGGCTTCGGTTCACTCGTAATGACTTCCCTGTCTATATAAGCTGGCCACATAGTGGATGTTCCAACCAGAATGGCCTGTATGAGGAAAGTTGGTAGTTGATTTAAATGAGTACTTGTTTAGGAACCTGTACCCGTTCTCTATATATGGTATTGATTTATCGACACTTCGAATCGATTCTTTTTACAAAGCCTGAGGTGAACCAGTTTGCTAGTGTCCAAATGCCGGCCAAATTTACTTAAGGAATTTGAAAGCAGTTCACAGAAACATTAAAAGAACAAAAAAATGAATAATCTGGCTTTTGTTGGAATGCTGTAAGTTTTAACCTGGATATCAGTGTCTTCAAAAGCCCTATTTAAACACCCAGTAAACTTCATTATATGATGTTCAGAGAACATAAAACAAACATTGGACTAAGCTGGAGTACACAATCAATATAGATCATACAAATATTTCTTCCCAGTGGGGGGTGATTTTATGCTATTCAAATACTTATGTATTTCACTCTAGAACCTCGTCAAGTTTTGAGATATGAAAGACTTCAGAGTTTATTTTACTTGCACATCTGTCACCAGTTAGAAAGCTAACTGTTTATAAATTCTGTGACCTGCCACTTTATTTGCAGATCAACCCTTGCCTATAATGATCTGTAATTTACTATAAACTATCGCCTTCCCCTGCACTGTTGGAGGAGGGTTGGAATGAATTTTCCTCACAGTTTCGGCATTTTTCTGGCTTCCATCACACATTCTGCATTCTTTGACAGCTTTTATTTCTCCTGTATTCTGAAAATTGCTCTTGAAGTGTGCCTCAAACATCACGTTAACATACCATTGTCAACCTTATGCATTATAAAGAACAGTTTTGTTAATTGGGTATAAACTGGTTCACTGCACATAGAATATTTCAAAAGAAAATTACATATGTAACATCAAAAATTGGAAAGGATATAAATCATTTTAGAAGTGGAAGGGATATGAGAGATCACCTGTGATACAATTATTCTGCTATTAACACACCTTGTTCATGCACTGTAAGCTTGAGAAAAAGGATCAAACTTGAAAGCCATATGTTCTTTGTACAAAAAATTTCTAGACTGTCTACTTTATTTTCAAGATGTTTATAATCTCAGCAAAATGTAAGTGTATCACATCAAAAAGCCAAACAAATTAAGTCTGCATTGAAGCTATGGTTGCCAGGGTACACAATCCTTTTTCAAACTTCATTGTTGATGCTTCTGTAATCCACCAATTTGAAAGATTCTTTAGAAGTCCCAAGAAGATCAAGTCATTGACTCTGTGCAACAAATTACTGTGAAATTTATCATAAACAAAATCATATGGGTAAAACATTTGAAATAAAAACAATTCAGAGACCTTGATGGAAACATTTGATGTCTGATTTACCGCAGGGTTTGATGTCTGATTTTTTTCTATGGTTTCATAAAATGATCCTCTTTTTGGCAAGGAAAACCCCTTCTGATGGTTGATGTAAAGCAGTAAGATTTATCACCAAATCTTTCATAAAAAGGGGAAAGTTTTGAGGAGAATTTGGTGTCTGACATGGGAAAGCGCTTCCTCTGATAGAGAGCTGCTGATGGACGGCTGTGTTCAATGGTGAACACCCTAATGATGGTAAACAGAGCCAAGAGAGGAGTTATCTCCCTTTAACTAATGGACACACTGATTATCTCCCTTGACACTGATGATATATATGTCAGCTTCCTGATATATTTAACCATTACATTGTATGAGAAGTTTCATTTATTTGGAGATTCTTTATATCACACCAAATATTTAGGAATGAATGTGCATTTAACTTTTTTCACACATTAATGCAGAATGTCGGATCCTTTTACAGTGAAATCAGGTGTAACTATAGAATATGTTTGTTGTCAAGCCAATGGAATGTCCATTTGTTGCCAAAATGTTTATCATTGTTTGAAATCAACCACAAAGACTAAATTTGAAGTAATGAAGGTATAATGACTTTGTTGGTTTTGTTTTATGAAAGAGAGTTGATATAGAGGTACAAGCAGACCCAAGGTTGTTTGTAATAACGGGATTAGCATTTCACAATTACCAGAGCTACCTCCAACGATTTCCCCCATTATACATAAAAGTTCTGCCAAAATGTCGCACACAAAAAGCCTAAGAAATGATCTCTTATCTACCTATTGCCGAACTGTAATTGGGTAATTGAGACTTAAGTCAGTTTTTGCTGTTAAAGTGAAAAACTAACGGTAAAAGTCAGAATATGATCTGATAATGTTGAGGCAATCAATAATCATGACAAATCAAAAAGATACCAGTAGTTTAAGAGCCTGCTGAATTAAATGTGGCCATTGATTGTATGATAGAAAGGAATGCAAAATCTGATGGATGAGGTAATTGGACCACTGTCAGATTTTGCGGTGCTGTTTGCGGACACAGGGGCCTGAACTCTGGGATAAAGACTCCGAGTTCGGAGTGATGTCATGGAAGTTAAGATCGGGAGTACAATCTGTCTTATTGTCAGCAATACACACTGAGTCTTTGTTCACCTGAAACCAAACTACATAATGACACCTATCACCTTAAAAGACCTGACAACTGAGATGAAGGACATTAAATCTCGATATATAGCTCCCAGTTATAACTGGATAATGGGTATATCCCTTCTCTGGCCATTAACTTTAATTTTACTCCACTTTACACTTTATTTTGTGGTCCCCCGATTCAAATAAGATGGGTGGAATGTTCGATAATGTTTATTTTTTCTGTCGGTGTGTCTGATTTTGATGGCTCCATGAATTGTCCCCCTGTCCTCTTTACCTTGGAGTGGTAAACTGAACTGCTTCCAACATCTGTGAATGGAGGCAAGGGTGTTACTGAATTGTCAAAGGGTCACTGACATTTTTCATCTTAAAAGCATGATCAAGAAAGCAAATATTTGTAAAAATTAGAAAGCCAGGTGATTTCTTTGTGCACTCCTCTTTATGATAAAGAGTGTCAACATTTCAGTATAAAGACTTTAATATAACCAACTTTAAATAACATATATATAATAAAATTTCTATCACACATTCAAGCAAACTCTGTTTTTGTTTCAGGTGTCTGCCAATGATCCAGACTGCCAGGGTAGAACCCAGAATTTGATCCAGTATCGTCTAGACAATACCTCGGTCTCCCAGAATTTCAATGTGAACGCCACCAGTGGACAAATCTGTGTCAGACAAGCTCTTGATTTTGAGACCAAACAAAGCCATGAGTTCACAGTTTTTGCAAGAGATGCTGGTAAGATAGAATTTACACAAGCATTGTTAATATATTTTGGCTTAAGATTAATGTTTTGTGTCTATATAGTAATAAAATGAACAACAGCAGTGTTCTGATGTGATGATAGATTGATGATTTTATGGACCTACATTTGACACGGACACACAATCACACATTATCTGTTATTGATAGGTAACCTGGAGAGTAGTGCCGTGGTGAAGGTCAGCCTTACTGATGTCAATGACAATCACCCCGAGTTTTACCCCCAGAATTACAGCATCAACGTGGATCTCTCGGAGGCCCAGGCGGGGACCACCATAGTGAGGGTTCAGGCTCAGGACCCAGACAGCGGGAGTTATGGGAGTGTTCAGTACAGTATTACTGCAGGCAATGACAGGGGCTACTTCAGTATCACAACCAATTCAGGTATAATTCATAAAGAGGAACAATAAATATGATATATTAATGATATACACTTAAATTCAATGCATCTAGTCTTGATCAGATCAATTCTGAGTACACACAACATTATTGATTTTGATTATCTGAAGAAACATATACATGTATTCTGTTTACTTACTACTTGGTAATCCTAAAGATTATTGTATATGATATTGCAAAATTTAAAAATCACTTACATATACTAACCGAAATCAAAGGAAATGTCAACTCTCATTTGTTTCATTTAATACATCTAACAAAATTTAATAATTGTTTTTTATAGGTCGTATCTATCTGGCTTCCTCCCTGCCCTCAGAAGAAAAGATGTACACCTTGGAGGTCACAGGGACAGATGATGGGGGTCTGACGTCTAAAATCCCTGCCCACGTGTATGTCAGTATCACTGGACAGAACTCCCACCCCCCTGTGTTTGGTAATCTGACCTATAGCTTCTCTGTACCAGAGGACACTGTCCATGGAACCACTGTGGGGACTATACATGCAACAGTTCAACCTATCAATGGAGTAACTCCAGGTAATAATGATGAAAGACCTCACTAGGGATACCTGTATCAACATAGTATTGAAATAATTTTGCTACCGGTAATCTAGATGTTAATTAAGCATTTTCCAAAAAGATAATTTAAATATATAATTTTTGAATGTACTTGTGTGATTTTTTTTAGAATGTACATATTATCTATGTGATAAAAAAATCATAAAATTGTAATTCTCTCTTTTTTTCAGTGGTGAAGTACTCGATTGCCTCTGGTGATAAGACAGGACTGTTTGCCATCAATGACAGGACAGGAGTGATATCCAGCACCAAGTCCCTGGACCATGAGACTCAGCCATTTGTCCTCCTCAGCATTCGGGCGGAGGCTGGGGACCCACCCGTGTTTGGCACAGCTCAGGTGTGTGTCCTTCTTCTAAAATATAATCACCACAATGAAGCATTATGTAGAAAACTTGTTCTCACTGGACATTTTTTGAAACTGATGAAAAAAGGTTCCTCTGTTTACAGAGTGTTTGTATTTTTCAGGTGAACATCACAGTATCCGATGTAAATGACAACAGTCCACAGTTCCAGACAAACTCCCTACAGATCCCTGTGTGGGAGGATGAGGATCTCTCTACCACTCTGTACACAGCCCACGCCACCGATCCAGACAGCGGTGAGAACGGGACTGTATTTTACAGCTTGCAGGGAGACTCCTCCAACACGTTTAGGATCAACCCAACCTCAGGGGAAATCACTCTACAGAAGGCCCTGGATTACGAACAAGTTGTAATGTACCATTTACATGTAGAGGCTAGTGATCAAGGAAAAGCTCCTCGCACATCTACTCTGAATCTGACCATTAAAGTGCTGAATGTGAATGACAACTCTCCAGTGTTCTCAGCCAGCCAATATGTCTTCAATGTAAGTGAATCAGCTGCTGTCCAGTCCAACATTGACAGAATACAGGCTACAGATCTAGATGGTGACATCGTATCATATTCTTTGAGAGACTCAATGTACCAAAACTTGTTTGGAATAGACTCTTCAACTGGATACATCTTCCTCAAACAGGAACTCAATCGGGAGGAGAAAGACAGCTACATTTTAACTGTCATTGCTAGGGACAATGGGAAGGGATACCGGTCCACAGCTGTCCAAGTCACGATCAATGTGATAGATGCCAATGACCACAGTCCAGTCTTCAAACAGTCTTTCTTTACATTCTATATTCTGGAGAATATGGCTGCTAACACTTTAGTGGGACAGACCACTGCCACAGACAAAGACACAGGGGACAATGCTTATCTCCTGTATCAGTTTGAGCAGCCAGAGCCCCACCTGAGGATCGACCCTGTGTCTGGTGTGATCACCATTGCCAGCTCTCTGGACAGAGAAGACAAAGACCTCTATAACCTCACTGTAATAGCTAGTGATCATGGAGATCCCAAAAAGTATGACTATGCTAATGTCAAGATTTTAGTTGGAGACTTGAATGACAACAGCCCCACTTTTCTGAATAGTCAACCCATAGAGGCTTTAGTCAGTGAAAATGAACCCAAAGGAACGTCGGTCCTTAATATTTCGGCTAAGGATGATGATGCTTTGGAGAATGGAACAATATCATTTTCTCTTACAGCAGGTTTGTGTTCTCTGTTTATATGCTTACTTGTAATGGTAAAGATTATTTCATATTTTTCAGTATGTTCTTTATGTCTATCAAATTTTGAAATTTCTGTCATAATTACAGATGGTGATGCAGAGGCCCTTAAATATTTTGCCATACACCCAAAGTCTGGTCTGATAACAACATTGGAGGTTCTTGATTATGAGAAGAAGAACAGATATGTAATGGGAGTAGTTGCTGAAGATCATGGGAATCCAGCAAGGAGCACCTCTTCATCCCTTGTCATTAATGTTAAAGATGAAAATGATGGCAAACCAATCTTTTCTTCACAAAATGTTACCATAAAAGTGGTAGAAAATATCAAAACTGGGTCTATTGTGGGTAGAGTGGAGGCGAAGGACTGGGATTCTGGAGAAAATGGTCGTATTTCCTACTCCATCATTGGAGGAAATGTGTTTGATGTATTTGCTGTGAATGTTTCCACTGGGGATATTTACTGTATCAGGAATGTGGATTATGAGGAGGCCTCCTCTCACTCCCTGGCAGTCAAGGCAGTGGATAACTCTCCCTACATTCCAAAGAGTAGCACAATCAGTGTGGAGATAGAAGTGGAGGACACCAATGATAATCCACCGGTGTTTGACAAAGACCCTGTCCTCCTCCACAGGAAGGAGAACCTGCCTATAGGATACACAGTTTACACATTCACTGCCACTGACAAGGATTCCGGGCTGAACGGAACAATCCGCTACAGTATCCAAAGTCAGACACCAGACAAGTCCTTGTTTACCATTGATCCGCAGACTGGAGATCTAAAAGTAGCAGCCATGTTGGATTATGAGGTTGTCAAGCAGGTGTCCTTGGTGATTCAGGCTGAGGACCGGTGTCATGTGGGATGTGTACAGAAAGCGACAGTTACCGCTTGGCTCTATGTGATTGATGTAAATGACAACAATCCTGTGTTTAAAGGAAATTCCTCTTACTCTGTGTTTGAGAATGAGACAGTGGGTCCCACTGGTTATCCTGTGACACATATAATTGCCACAGATGCTGACAGTAATGTGGATAACAGTGGTAATGGAGTCTTAGCCTTCAGTATCATTGGAGGCAATGATGAGGGGCACTTTGCCATTGATAGATCTTCAGGTAAAAATGAGTCAAGTTACATTTCTGTGGTTTTGTTACTTTTTAGCATTTTAAAGATATCCATTCAACCTTTTGGTTAATTTATTCGTGCACATGTTAACAATCTGCAATACATTATTGCTTGCCAATGGCACACTGTTACACAATGCATTTGTTGTATGATGTATTTTATAGCCTAGCTGAATAATGTTTTTGCAAATTTGTATTCATCTACATCAATTAAATTAAACTACCTTATAGATAAATAACAAAAAAGTCAGTTCCATAAAGAGAAGCAAAAGATGGAATCCATGCTATTGATTTTCAAGCAATTAACATGGTTATAGAAATAAGGTAGAACCGTTCTGAATGGGTTTTCCCTTTTCACAAAGTGTGACCATGAAAGGAAGGAAAGATTTTATTATGTTAGATATGAGCATTCCAGAGGTCTTTTTTGAGCATATTTCAAAGCTTTGAAAGCAATTGTTAAATTTGTATTAAAACCCTGGAATTTGAAATTACAATTTTCATGGTGTCGTCCAAGCACAAACTGCTCATCTCAATTGTTTCAAAATGACATCTAAAAGTACAGGACATTGTAAGAACTGAGTAGAAGATTTTAAAGGTTGTTAAGATGCTAAAAATATCCTATTTACTGTGAAATTAGAAGGAAGTCTAAATGAAGATTATACTTCAAAATTCTTAGCCTAGGTACCTGAAAACAATTTAACATTATTTTATGTGGGTACTCTTTGATTAAACCATTGCTATGGAAATCTTTTATCAGGATTGTTGGTGATCCAGCAAACTTTAGACAGGGAGACAACTCCATCCTACACCCTGACCATTCAGGTCCAGGATCAGGGGACGCCCCAGCGGTCAGCCGTCAAACAGATCAGCGTCCACGTCCTGGACATCAATGACCACGCCCCCCAGTTCAGTCAGTCCACCTACACTGTCAGTATCCCAGAGAACTCCTCACCACAGCAGAACGTCCTCCAGCTAACAGCTACAGACCTAGACATTGGTAAGGAACAGCAACATTCTATACAATTATTTCCCATTTTCTTTTTTATTTATCAAAGTTACTTTAATTTTTAGTATATCAACCTTTTTTTGAGAAAATGAAAGATACTGTGAAATAGCTTGTTTTTGAATGTTTTTGGTAAAACTTTTTGATCTCAGATACAGGGAGAATTGAACAGTTGGAGATTGTTAGTGTTTAATTAGTTTTGCTGAGTAAATGTATTTCCAGCTGTTGGGTAATGAAAATAAGAAATTTTCATTTGCTTCCCATGTTGTTTCTTAATGTTTAATCATGTACTGTAATTATTTTATTTCATTTCTTTGTAAATGTGGATTTACCTTTTGTTTTTGCTTTTGCATGGGTGTTTTTAATTGTATATTTCTTGTCTTTCTGGAACAGGGGAAAATGGCCGCCTCTCCTTCTACCTGCCTCCTGGAGTTGCAGACGACAAGTTCCAGCTGAACCCGACCACAGGTCAACTGAGTACAACGGCTAGTCTGGACAGGGAAGAGCAGGCCCAGTATGTCCTCACAGGTAAACAAACAGACAATCATCAAAATAAAGAAATCAAAGAAAATCAAAACTGATGAAGTAGCCATATACAAAACTGGCAGATGAAAAGAAAATTTATATGTTAAATACTGTAAACCATATAGCCAGAGTTATGATTACGGGAGTCTCTTTGTCTATTGATATATATGCAGTTTCAAATTCAGAGCTAACAGAAAATTTATATGTTAAATATACAGAAACATTCCATTCATCTATAAAAAGATTTAAAAGTGTTGGACTAATGCCCAATTCAATTTTTCTCCTGCAATATTACATGTAGCTGTTTTGAATTAAAATATTTATATTCTACATATCAATGATTAAAGCCTATTCTCTTCTCAAAAAGAACACCACTTGATTTTTGATTGAAGGGATATATGTTTAATTCAACAAGAATTATATTTTATTCTTAGCCTATGTGCGTGACTTTGGATACCCAGAAAAGTACAGCACCACTAGAATTGTTGTGGATGTAACTGACGTCAACGACAATGTCCCAGTTTTTGTCAAAAGTGAAGTGAGTTTGTCTATCCCGGAAAATACCAAACAGGAGGCCATCCATCAATTAGTCGCAAAAGACGCAGACGCAGGTGACAATGCCAGACTGTCCTACGCAATCATTGGTACGTATCACGTATCAGACCCAATTATTGATTAGTTTATCCCCCTGTGTATTAGACTGCAGGTGAAGTGATAAAAAAATCTTATATCCTTAATACTTATCAAATAATATTGATTTAATATACTTAGATTAATGTTTATCACAAGCTTTAGATAAATCTGGTCACAAATTTGTTTGTTTTCCCCATGGGTTGATGCAGGTTATCTAAGCAAATTTGAACATTGCACAAATTTTATCATCTGAGCACTGATTTATATCTATGCTAACAGATTCTTTAGATAGGAAAATGAAATACTCAGCAAATTTATGCTTTCGCTGTATGTACTATTTCTCTCTTTTTGACTAAGGGAAGTAACTCTTGATTTGCATTATCTTGTATAGGTGGCAATATTGGCGGAGCTTTCACTATTGACCCAGAAACAGGTGAACTGTCCTGTAAAGCACTGGACAGAGAAACCATAGCATCTTATAACCTAACCATTAGAGCTAGTGACCATGGCAGTCCACAAAGAAACACTATGTGTCAAGTCCATGTCAAAGTTTTAGACAAGAATGACAACTTCCCAGAATTCTCTGCCCTAGAGTATGCTCACACCATCAAAGAAAATGTGGCACTGGGTACATTCGTACTTCAGGTGGCAGCTAGTGACATTGATGAGGGTGAGAATGCTCGCATCACTTACTCTCTGGGTAATGACACAGATGGCTTCTTCCAAGTAGACAGTCAGTCAGGAAACATTACTACAAATGGGTAAGGTTTATTTCGGCATTTACAAGTAAGTTATTTTATTTTGCATTTAAAGATGTGTGTTAAGTTTTATTTTCATTTTAATTTCACTTAATTTGCAGCCTGTTTGATTATGAGAAGAAGACATCTTATGTTTTCTATGTGGTTGCTAAGGATGGAGGTCAAAAGGACATCAAAAATAAAACGGTTCAAGTCCGCATCAACCTTAGTGATGTCAATGACAATGCCCCCATCTTTAAGGAGATGGCCTACCGCAAAAATGTGTCAATCAACACCCCAGCTGACACCTTTGTTGTCAAGGTTCAGGCAGACGACAAGGACTCCGGCATTAACGGAGAGGTGCGATACGCCTTAAGTAATTCAGGCACAGACTTGGCCACCTACAACATGTTCCGTATTGATGAAGTTAGTGGAAATGTATACACCAGACAGACCCTGACTACCAGGGGAGTCCACATGATTCAAGTGGTGGCTACAGACCTAGGAGCACCTGCTCTTAGTTCAACAGGTAAGTCACACGCAAGATAAGGGGTAGGGGTGGGGAGTCCACATGATTCAGGTGGTGGCTACAGACCTAGGAGCACCTGCTCTTAGTTCTACAGGTAGGTCACACACAAGATAAGGGGGCAACTAATCACAGGAATATATGAATATTGATTAATGATAAGAAAGATTTAGAGGGATTACTTGTCCCTATTTCTATTTGACATGAAGGGCATGCTTTAAAAAGATAAATTTACAAGGTATTTTGTAGAGATCCTGTTTTACACTAGATTGTATCCTTTATAAACTTTTCAATTCAATAAATCTTCACGACATTTCTTATGAGTTTTCCATTTCACACAAAAACATGACAAATGGTTCTCGTATTAAAAATGAAAGAATGGAAAGCATTCTTCAAACTTGAGCATAGGATTTGGAGGACTAGATGCAATACTAAAGGATTTGGTCAGGAAATGAAAAGGAATATTGTGTTAAATATTGCGAACTGTTGATTTTTATTCTGCATGAAGGATTTTATGTCTATTTCTCAATACTCAAATTATAATTTGATTGTAGAATTACTTTTTGGACTCTACCCCCAGAAATGAAATAACATAAGAGTTATTTTGTTTATTTTTCATAGGGCATTGACACTAATACATTACATTTTTGCCATTTGATTAGTTCACTCTGAACATATCTTTTTTTTTATAGGGGGGAGGGGGTATTTTACCATTGCCAAAATAATTAAGAAATTTTCTATATGGTTTTCGTTCTCAGAACTTTATGTATATATATATACATATACTGACATTGTAGGTATCATTGAGGTCACCGTCGGGGATAATGCAGGCAGCGTCAGTTTAAGGTTCGACCAGACTTCCTACCACGCCACTATAGAGGAAGGATCTCCCAAATACACCTCTGTCACGACGGTCAGAGCCACATATGTGGGATCAGGAAGTGGCCCCATCACCTATTCCTTGGTTAACAGTAAAGATCAGCAGGTCTTCTCCCTGGATTCCTCGACTGGGAGGGTCACAGTTAACAACGGAGCCCTACTGGACTTCGAGGTGGCCCAGGAGGTGCATGTGATGGTGGTGGCTTCCAGTGGGAGCCTCTCTACCTACACTCAGGTGGTGGTCCAGTTAACAGACAAAAATGATAATGCACCCAAGTTTGCACAGAATGTGTACTACTCCTCCACCTGGGAAGGAGAAAAGGGGGACCATGTCTATGTTACACAGGTAATATTCATATACATGTATATCTACAGTAAATCTATATAGTTGACTTGATCTACTGCTTGCTAGGATCTTTTCTAAGTATTAATTTCATTGCAATAAAGTTTTTGCATTATCTGAATACTTTTTGCAGGTACTAGCAACAGATGCTGACTCAGGAATCAATTCTGACATCACGTACAACATCATCGGGGGTAATGAGGGTTATACCTTCCAAATCCACCCTCCCCACAGTGGCATTGTGGTCACCACGCTTCCTCTGGATTATGAGATTCAGAATTTCTACAGCCTGACTATAGAGGCCGTGGATCAGGGGAGACCCTCTCAGAGCAGTACCTGTACACTCAATATAGACGTGGTGGATATCAATGATCAGTATCCAACCTTCCCCGAACCTCAACCTGTCAATCTCAGTGAAGGTAAAATGCTGCAAACATAATCGATCTTCACTTTTTTTTTACTTCAGGAGGTAAATTAAAGTCTCTGATAGCTTTTAAAGTTTGAAATAATCATTACACAATTTATTGTAATTTTAGCTGCAGACATTGGTTCTCTGGTGAGATTGGTAACAGCCAATGACAGAGACAGAAACCCTACTCTGCTCTATGACTTCACACCAAATGGTAACCCTGGAAACACCTTTGCCATCGATAGATTCAGTGGAAGAGTTACTCTAGCCAAGCCACTGGATCATGAAATTCAAAGGAATTATGCTGTTGGCTTAACTGTAAGTTCTACTTCTAAAGAGCATTACATTAGTGTTTTGAAGAGAATTACTTTTAATAATAATAAATATGTATTTGTTTCACATGTTTGTGAATGTATAATTTATTTGACATTAAGTGACAAACATTTTATCTGCAGGTGAATGATACTAAGTATTCAGCCCAGACCACCCTAAATGTAAATGTTAAAGATGAAAATGACAATCATCCAGTCTTCTTGCAGCAAAGTTATAAGGTAAGACATCATATATTATTACATATAAAGCACTATCTATCAATGTGGAAATGGAATAATACATAAGGTATAGTTTACAAATAAAATGTATTTCATTTTCTTTCTATGACAGGCTGATATTCTGGAGTTCACAGGATCAGGGGTGAAGATTTTGACTGTTAATGCTACAGATGCTGACACAGGGGTCAATGCTGTCATTACTTATAATCTGATCGTTAATCCAACTGGGGGATTTTATATAGATCCTAATACAGGTAAATCACAATCATAAAATGTAACCTTGTATAAGATTCTCTTTTGTAATACAAACACAAAGTCTTCTAAATAAGTACTTTCGAAATATATCTTGGAATTAAGATTGAAAGTGTAAAAATATTTTTAGTTCACAAAAATTTGAATAAAAAACCCATCAAAATTTCAGGAGAGATTTACACAAACAAGACTGTTGAACTTCGACAAGATCAGCAGGTGTTGACTTTGGTGGTGACAGCACAAGACGGGGGTACTCCAAGACTGTCAGCGGTGGTAGCCATTAATCTACAGATCATTCCTGTCAACCAGTATGCTCCAGAGTTTCCTCCACAACAAACTAAGTAGGTCTAATTTTATTGGAGGAGAAAAGAATTTGATTTTCATGATGATCAGTGATTATTTGTTTAAGGTGATTTTGCTAAATGAGTGGTTGCTATTTTTAGATTTTCTTTCGCTGAGGACATCAAGAAAGGTGAAAATCTCTGGAGCGTAACAGCTTCTGACCGGGACATGAAACAGGAAGTCTACTACAGCATTAGGGCAGGGAACCAGGCAAACTCTTTCGGAATTGATCGGCAGTCAGGACTAGTTTTCTTGAATGAAAATCTTGATAGAGAGTCAATGCCATCTTACTCTCTCATCATTGAGGCCTCAGACAACGGAAACCCAGTGAAAAAGAACACCATTGGAGTATCCGTGGAAGTTATCGATGTTAACGATCAGAGCCCAGTGTTCAAGCCAACTGAATATTTCAAGGAATTACCTGAGAATATGGCACACTCCAATTCCTTCCTACAGGTGCTTGCCACAGATTCTGATGCTGGGATTAATGCTGAAATTCAGTACACAATTACATCAGGAAATGATCAAGGTCTGTTCATAGTGCATGGAAAAACTGGTGTTGTTTCGATAACTCCAAACGCAACTCTGGATTATGAGAACACTCAACAACATAAACTGATCGTGAGAGCCACAGACTGTTTGGGTTGTGACAGCTCACAAATGAAATTCTCAGCTTTTGCAACAATAGTCATAAATGTGACAGATGTCAATGAATATCCTCCTCTGTTCCCTGTGCCGTTTTATTATGCCAGCGTCAATGAGGGACCTAGAGATACCAAAGTATTCCAGGCGCATGCCAACGACAAAGATGGTGGGAAATACGGAGTTCTGTCCTACAGAATTCAGAATACTAATGTTTTCCGAATCGATTCCATCACAGGATGGGTGTATACAAACATGGATATTGATTATGAGAATCTTCCTTACCTCTCGGCTCCAGGAGAGCACCAGTACAAGTTTGACCTCACTGTGACAGACCTGGATGGTTTGGAGGACACTAAACCTGTTATTGTCACCATCAACGATGTCGATGAATTTTCTCCAGTGTTCACAAAAAATAAGTATGCATTTGATGTACCTGGAAATGCTAAAAAAGGTCATATCATTGGAAAAGTCGGTGCAACCGATGACGATGGAGGACTCGCTGGAATGGTTTTCTATGTCATCAAAAGTCCTGTAGATTACTTTGATGTAAACATAACCACTGGTGAGGTGTATGTGTCCCATGACTTCCATTCTGATATTAGGAGCAAGCGGGATACGTTTTCGCGTCAGAAGCGAGCCTTGGATAAAAATTTCATCACTCTGATCATTACGGCCACCAATGGAGCTGAAGACTTGCGAGCCTCTACAGCCATAGTGGAGGTGTCTGTCGACACGGAATGTGCTGGGTGTGCTCTTCCACAGCCTCTAACTCAGGAGGACTCAGTGAACACCACAATAATCGCTATAGTGGTAGTGTTTGTGTTGGTGGCCATCATTCTCGTTGTCATTATTGTGATCATTGTGATAAGATTCAGGAAAAGGAAGGCCCCCACTGTGGTTTATGAAACAGAATACCCCCATCAGTTTGATTTCCCAGTGGCCAGCGATGATGGATCACCACCTGCTTATGATGAGAAGTACAGGAACCACCCCATTACACCAGATATCTCTGAACGATCCCATCACTCTCAGTCCAGTGGTCGCGGTTCAGTGGAGGCTGACGAAGATGAGGAAATCATGATGATTAACTCACATTCCTCAGTCTTAAATAACTCTGCTGGATTCCGAAGTAAAAACATGCCAGATTCTGGAATTCAGGATGATGACAATATGTCTGAACCTTCCGTTCAGAATTCAAAAGACTACCTAGCACGGCTAGGAATAGAACCTGTGCATACCCAGATAAAGACTCAAAATATTATGCAATCTGTGGAGAGCATGCATCAGTTTACAGAAGAGGGGGGTGGGGAGGATGTGGAGTATAACAATGACTCTAGTGCAGATATCGTGATATCTGACAGCAATAATGACTTAGGGTTCCACGAGCCCGACGTACAGCAGCATGTGGGGGCCCTCTCCAGTGTGATAAACAGTGAGGAGGAATATAGTGGGTCCTATAACTGGGACTATTTATTAGACTGGGGTCCACAATATCAACCCCTAGCCCATGTGTTCACAGAAATCGCCCGATTAAAGGACGATAAGCAAACACCCAAAAAGCAACCTGTGAAAACTGTGCCACAAAGAAAGACTACCATTAATTTAAATCCCCAAGTGAAAATGGACCCACCCCCAATCATAACTAATGCTCCCCCTAAATCAGTGCAGCAAAGTCAGGGGAGCAAACACTCCTCACGAACAAATAGTACAATGAATGTGTCCTCTCTCCCCAGTTTACCCCGATCCCCGATCAGTTACGAGTCAAGCTTTACGTCCCCCGCCATCACTCCCTCTTATACCCCCTCCCTCACCCCCCTGGCCACTCGCAGCCCTTCCATATCTCCGTATGGGTCAGGTCATAATACACCAAACAGACAACGAACCAATGGTCACATGCAGAGAATGGCTTTATCATCAGAGTCAGAACAAGAGCTCAGGATATAACTAGGTCAAACTTAAGACTATTTGAATGCATTCTGATGAACTTGTGATGTCTGTAGTAGTATTCATGTAATATTTCTTTTATTGAGATGATATATATTTTTAAAATCAATTTGTTTTTAAATGTGACACAAAGATGCATGTGTGTTTTAGTTGTCTTGTTTTTAACTCATAAGAAACTTTCTTTTCTCTACTCAAAACATTTCCACATGTGAGAATGGTATGGTAGAAAAAAAACAAATTTTATCATTGCAACTACTTTTAAGTTTATTTTTATAGTATTTTTTTTAATGGTAAAATAAGTCGTATTTGTGTGAAATAATACCTGACTTCTGACATTAGGTTGTGCGTTAGTGCTCGTGAGAAGCTTTTTATGTCACTGTTATGTCTGATATTATGTTTTTATATATGCAATATAAAGGGGGACCAGAGTCCTTGAGACTTTAAATTTATGTATTTTTGTGGAAAATTGACGTAAGTCACATGACCCTTTTTACAAACCATATTTTATAGACTTTTATCGACAGTTGATGCTGACTTTTACGTACATGTACTTGTTATTAAGTGCCAATGTCATATACATGTGCATTTTTAATGATATGCATTTAATTCTTAAATTAAATCTTAATGCTCATGATTTTTTTTAAACGATCTATTTGGTACTTACAAATGTGTACAGTAAAACTCGGTTATAACGAAGTCACAGGGACCTATGAAATTACTTCGCTATATCCGTAATATTTGTATATTTCACATCACTAGAAGTTGTACCATTTTGTATATTTCACATCACTAGAATTTCTGTAGCTTAGAATTAGAATTTCTTACATTTGTGCCATCATAATAAAATATGCATATTTTTCTACAGTTGTAAAGTAACCAATCAAAAAGTTTAAATATGAAACATTTTTTCATCAGGGGTCAGTTGGTCTTTGTCTCATTTATAGTTATATGTAAAATATAGATGAATCAAATTTATTTATACCAAATAAAGAAATTCAAACCGTGATTTTATATTGTCTTTTTCTTAAAACAAATCATCTGGTTTTAATTTCATCCGCAAATGCTGATCATGTATTATTAAAAAAAATAAAGAGTTACCAGTAATAAAAAGCATTGGCTTGTAATCCAGTATCAGTCTGCATTTTTAATCCTGTATGTGTGATTTTAATCACATTAAAATTATATTTAAAAATTAATATCTTTAGACAGGTTTTTAATAAAAACAAGCCTGCAGCAATATGAATCATGAAAACAGCACTTTTAATGTTTAAGTATATTAATGCTTTGTTTTCTGAAGAAAGTGAAATTACATGTATTCAGCTTGTTAGAAAGGCATGACTGTGATTGAATATGAACGAAACTGAAATGATTTTTGGTATGGTATGTTCTTACCAAGAAACAAAGAATTCAAATATTGCTGTCAAGAGTTATGTGTCTTCATTTAGAAATGATGGGTCAGCTTCAAACTTCGTCTAACTTATTGATAAGAGTAAGCAACTGCAAAAAAGACTCAAGGTGTGCAAAAAAAATCAGAATGTCATATTTTTTTCAGAGCAAGATCATTGTAAAGTTAGATTTAGACAAAGTAATAAAAAGGTAACTATTGGATACATGTTTTGAACAAATTTATCAAATCGGCAGGTGATGCTCACTCCTCCATGGCACCTGATCCCACCTCTGATGTGTTGGATGCCCGTGTTTGCTCAGATCCTATTCTGTGTCGTTTTATAGACTTTTGATCTTGAATACCGTTTGTTATCTGCATATGTTTCCTATATTGATACTTCTTAATCTCTCACAAATGTATTTTTTAAGAAAGTCACCAACGCCTACCTACATGTAGTACAACAAAGGAGCATCCATTTTCAATTGGTAAAATTTCACACTCCCAAAATGATCTTTACGACGAAAAAAAATCACGAAACACTGAAAAACACTATTTCCTGAGAAAACGGGGTAACCCCCTTTATTTCATGTGCATTTCTTTAAAGAATAGTTTGCGTTTCCAACCGGGAGAGGTTCCATAGTCATTTTTTGCCAACTATGCTGTGCGATATGATGGCTGTCTATCCCCCACCTCAACTCAATCTCTCTGCAAGATCCGCTTTTGTATAATGTGAACCGAATATGATCAGTATTGCCAATTTGGAACTTTAACACTTACGAAGTTGAAAAAAAACTTAATACCAAGTGTCACCAACACCCCTTAACTCGAAATAGTTTTTTTTTTTGTATGTGCGTGTGGACCTCCTGGGATTTATATTAGAGTTATTATATTTAAATTACATATTATAGTAACCAAAAAGACTGGAACCCCACACTTCTGGATAAAAGTTCTTGAGAAGCCCCCTTTTCAACGTAATCGTGGTAAGTCCAGATATTGTTTATCATATATTTAATCCTTTTTCTCATTTCTTGTAAACTTACGTAAGAGAGAACTTTTTAGTGGCCCCTTCTCCTCTCCCCTCGTAAAAAGTTCACTGAACCACCCCTTGTTCTAGATATCACCTTCCATTTTTATGATCCAAGAAGGATAAACCTTGCACAGAGAAGACTGCCCCTGTTAGAAATCTTAAGCCTGATTTAAACGAAATTGAAGTTAATATTTTCTGTATAATATCACGACTTACATATTTTAATAGTATTTCACACAAAAATACCAGGATATGTTAAAAATTCTATTTCATCTTAAAGTTATTGAAACTTCAAATTTTGGGATGGGTTTGATTGAAACATCCTTGCATTTTCACAAATTTTACTTTTATTCGTAATACTTGGGAAAAGTGGCAATCTTGTTGTGTATTAGAGAAAAATATTAAAACTTTAATCCAGAAAATAATTGTATTCAGAGTAGAAGTGTTAGAAAGCAAACCACTTCACAAGTATCGTCATTCCGCGCTAAGTGTTGTGTACAGAGTTTAGCAAATCGATCACAAAGTGAAACGTACAAGTTTTTGTTAATATACATGTTTATTATATGTTGATGTTTTCATCTCACCGTGAACGTTCAATTGTTAAAGTCTGCTCACCACAACTGCACGGACTGACAATATATTGTGTGTATGTTTTGCTTTCGAATATTTCTACTCAGAATTTTCCGGATTATAGTTTTAATGTTTTTCATTTTGACACAAATTGACTTTTGGAAAGATTTAAAATAAAATTAACTTTTTTGAAAGTGCAAGGATGTGTAAGCAATATATATTTTAAAATGAAGTTTTGATAACTTAAAGATGAAATAAGATTTGTAATATATTTTTTTGTAAAATGCTATAAAAATATATTCCTTTAAAAGTATTATACAGAAAATAAACTTCATAATTTTTGTCCATGCACCTTTAAATTGATTTAAAAAAAAAATTAACAAAAAAATAATCTTTTAAGGTTTTTTAATCACATCATCATAAAATTGCTCATGAACAGGTGGTATTTATCTTTTGGACAGATTATGATTTCATTTTGGCGTTTTTTGTTTGTTTTGTGTGTGTGAGGGTGTGTGTGTGTGTGTTTTGTTTTTTATTTGTTTGTTTGGGGGCGTGTTCTTTTACTAAGTATTCAAAAGGACGAAGTGGGAATTTTAGTGTTAATATACATGTATATCTTTTTAATAAAACATTACACTGTGCATGAAATGCAATATTATATAAATATTGTATTTAATCAAATGTTACACTGTGCATGAAATGCGATATTTATTATATTATAATGAATGTTTTATACAAATACATATAACAGTGAACCATGTGCGCATAAATTCTGCGCAGTCGCCATTTTTGGGAATATCACCCGTCGTCAAGCAATGTTGACAGTTGCTACGCTGGAGGGCGTGGCTTCGTTATTCAGCTGGTTTTTTAACACGTTATTCAGCTGGTTTTTTAACAAATGTTTCTCGACCAATCAGTAGATTCAACTAATTTAAATGAAAGTATAATATTAATTAAAGAATCAATTATAAGGTATTGTTTTATTGTTATGTACATTCTTAAAAGATACAAACATTTGTGCATGGAATACTAGTAAGCGAACACATTACAGAAAACTTGTCATACACTGTACAAGAATTTAGATATCAGTTTTGACTGGGTATTTGCTAGTCCACGACCTTATATCTTCCATGGTATTAAAAAGGTCTATTATGGTCTCATCTACGTAATATATAAAGTGAAAAAAAAATATCTGGAACAATTCCATCATTTGGAAATAGCCGTTAGAAACTATATCATTCTGTTTTTTGGTTTTTTTTCCACATAAGAAATGATTTTTTATGGCTGGTGAAATAATATCTGTCAACAGAAACGGATATTCTACCAACGTCTCAAGATCGTTGGCTCTTTAGCATTTTTTTCTCCTAAGCGGTCAGAATTCGTCTGTATCGTGCATTTTGACTGTGGTTTGCAACGCTAAAATGTACAAGAGCAAAACAAAAAATGTATTTGTGAAACACCGTACAATTCCCCTGTGTGACAACTTATGGCAAAGGTTAAAGTTTCTTTAATAGCCAATTTCTAAGGTCAAGGTCAAAAGATGTTGGACCCTTATCAATGAAGTCCTAGGTTAACGTTTTTAAAAATAGGTCAAACTGCTAGATCAAGGTCAAAATTAATGGTTTTCTGGAAATGGGCCTTGTCAGCCTTAGCACCAACTGTTCAAAACTTATGGATAATTTTTTTTATATAATACATGTACATGTATATATGTAAAACGCCAAGGTCAAAGTCTAAATTGTTGGTATCTAGAGGCAGGTCTTATACCTTTAGAATATAAAAGTTCTAATACTTACTATTTAAAAATTAAGGCCAAGGTTAAAGTTTTTTAAAAATGGTCCAAACTCCAAGGTTAGAGGCAAAAAAAAAAAAAATAAATAAAACTAGTGGAAAGGTCTAGCACCAACTGTTTAAAAGTTATTTGGCATAGATTAAATTTTCTAAAAGTTTGTGACTCTAGGGTCAAAATTGGTGTATCTAGAGGAAGGCCTTGTCACCATATATGAAAATTCTAGTACTTACTTTTTAAAGAATAAGGCCAAGGTTAAAATTGATCAAAAGTGGACCAAACTCTACAGTCGGTCAAGGGCAAAAGGTAATAAAAAAATTATAGTGGAAAGGACCCTCGGAAACAGCGTGGGCTACAATAGAGGATCAGAGCTTTACAGAATTTATAGGAAGCTATCTTTTTAAGAGCGACAAGATACTCTATCATACCTAAAAATAAAACAGATCTAAGTTATGTGGTATTATATTTTTAAAATTATGACTCCGTGGGGAGTTTGATCAAAATCAAAGATCTGAATTGTACATAATATGTGCGCAAAAGGGAAATTCTCCAGAACAACAAGGCCATGATGGTCGTATCGATATTGAATCATTCCAATTCATCATCAGAGTCAAAGCGACTCATATAAGCGTTGTGGTCCATAGGCCTGTTGCAAAATTGAAATGACGTCTAGACCTATATCGAACTTACCATTACCTTATAAAGTTCCTTATGTAGAACACATAACAGATGATGGAATACCTGTTTAGTGACAAATGAGGGATGCTGGATGAGAAAAATGTACCGATGAGGAAAAAATATGATCGCTACATGAAAATACATTGTAACTCAAAATTTCAAAAACTCTTTTAAATAGTTCATTGTAGATAGCTACCAACTTTTTCTCAACTACAGAAATTCTCAAACTTTTGCCACGGGCTGGGATGAATCGTGAAAATCAGTATGATTGACTTCTTTCAGTAAAACTTCATCCACTGTTTCGTTTGCATCCATCACAGTTTCTTTGTTTTGGCGGTACTGCTTTACTATTCGAGATATTTCCTCGGCAGGCGGCGCTATTATGACAACAATTGCCATGACAACAGCCCATGCCTGAGTGAACCAGACCCAAGCAGAGAATTGCCCTTCACTCATCACTGAGTAGCTGGCCATGATGATTCCCGGTATCACGAGGGCCATTAAAACTATGCTACTCCCGCCGCCAATATATGCTACCATTTTTGCTTTACGAAATTGAGCAGACATTTGTTCAAAAGTTGGTTTTGTATCAAAATGAAGACCCTTTAACTCCTCTTTGTAGTTTAACTCCCATGGATTTAGTGGATTGTCAATGTCGTACAGTTTTTGCCATTCTTCATTTGCATCTTCAGGACATCGAATTTGATGTGTAATTAACGAACTGATAATACATCCCAACAAACTGCCGCCAAAACTAGAACATGTTCCCGCCAAAATGGCATGATCCTGGACTGTGTTGATCAGGAAATTATTGAGACCTCCCTCATACATAGTTGCTGCTGACAGCGTTGCGGTTATACCACATATCAGTCCAAAAATTCCTCCTGTAATTAGAAAATGGAACCTCTGATTAGATACATTTACATTAGCCAGCTTTCAGTTGAGACAAAAATTTAAGCAGTCTGTACCCTTTTCTCTGTACCTGTAATAAGACCCCTTGAAGTGGCTTTCACCCACATGATGGAGAGAAGAACTGGTGGAAAACACGGAATCGTAACAATGGCGCCAACATAGAAAATCCAATTAAGATCGATTCCAGACTCAAAAACCAGCATTCCAAGAGGAATGATGCCGATAGTGACCAACACAATGCACCAATTTTTGAAATGAATCAGACTGTCCTGATACTGTCGATACTGACCATGGATTGGACACTCATAACGAGGCTTGATGCAGTTCTCGGTGACCTGGTTTCTGCGAACTATATCCTCTGCGCAGCCGTGACAGCGTACGACACTGGTACACTGACAGTGAAGGTCATTTCGACTCTCGTAAGTGACCACCAAGGTCCTTTTCTTGTTTTTACCACATAAAACACATTGTCTTCTCTTCATTCCGGCTCTGCAATGAAAATGGACTTGAATCAAAATTAGCACACTTTTTCTTATAGGCATACTAAATTTCACTGTACTTTTTGGTAAAACTAAAATTGAGCATGTTTTATTATTTTTAAAGGAACTATATAAACCTACGAGTATTATCAGTACAGGTACTGGTTATGTCCAGATTGCATCGTTATGCTGAAACCTTCAGTCGTCTGGTTTGTGGGACAGAAACTTGCTTTTCTTAGAATCTACTACGTATGTTGGGTACTTACCATTTTTATTGAAACACTTGCAACAAACAGTATACCTGAACGGTCTGACGTAGGTCTGGTAGATGTCGTATACAATGATGGAGGATATCGCCATAACCTCCCCTGATCCTGTTGACATCAGCGCCATCGCACCCATAGTCAGAATCAATATGCCACCCGAGGAACCCAGAACCTTCTCAGCAATGAGTGGTGTTACCAAACCTACAAACGTTTCAAACCCAAGTACTCCAACTGACATACCTGATGTGTTTGCTTTAATGTTTCCGTATGAAAATTGATAATTACCTTCATCAATTTGACCTGGTGTCAACAGATGTGTTCCGTTTTCCATGCTTAAGGCAAGATATGCCATACCGGTTGTGGTTGCCATTGTGGCAGGAATAGCGAACCACATAAAGCCCGCCAAAATGAAGCCCCAGACGCCCTGTATCGGCTTAGCAGCAATTCGACTCTGCCACGAAGCCTGGTCACAATAAGTGACCGCCGAGGAAACAAAAACCTCAATGACCCCGTAAAGGATTGCTACTCCAGAACGAAAGGTCAAATAGCTGTAGTTCTCGTTTTCAGGAGGCCCTTTGACGCATGAAATGTATTCATACATCTTGGAGACATCGCCAATGGAATCAAAGGCGATCGAATCATTGTGAAGGATCTTGACAACAAATACTATTAATAGTATGAATACGAGACAGGCATTAAAGTAAGACACATAAAATGTCGTCCCAATTCCTCCGACCAAAGAGTAAGACCCGAACAGAACCGCCATTACAAAAAGTGAGAATTCGTCCGAGGTGTCTTTAGTAAGGGACTTAATGGTGGCTCGACCTGCTAGTAACAGCCCGATCATTATAACCAGGTTAGTGATCAAGGCAAATGCACAAAAGACCACGTGAGCAGATTTGCCGAAACGAGCGTGTATAATCTGAAATGAAAATAATTTTCTACTGAAGTTTTTTATTCTTTGTGAAATTTAGTAAATCATAATTCAAATTTTTTAAATGTGTCACGTGGTTCACTTGCTGAATAATCCATCATCAAAAGAGAAAATAACATTAAGATAACAATTGCAAAACGTAGAGGAAACAAGTAAGACATAATGTGGATCGGAGCAATAAAGAGAGATAGTATAATGCGAAGAACATGATTTCAGCATACAATATACTAGTATATTATTTGCCTTGTTGAAACAGTTATATCTTAATAAATGTACCTGTAAATATGTTTTAGCTCCAGGTGCCCGAGTTTTGAATTGCACCGAGAATATCGGGAATATAAAGATGTTAACCATGATCCCTACTGCGTACCAGAATGGGCCAGCGACTCCATTCTGCAACAGAAAAAAATTATGGAGATGAAAGGTTAATTGTTTCTAACAAAGATTGTCATTTCAAACATTCAGTAAGAGGATTTTTAAACACATAAAATTGTAGGTTAATGGTTATACTTTTGTAAATTGAATTTGTTCCTTAGATTTTTCTTGATGCTGATGATCTCCGTTGCTAGAACACAAAGAACTGCGAGCGCTAACTCTGGATCCTCGCCTACCTTTCACACATGCACAAGTAGTGAAAAAAGTTTGGTATATATGCAATTTTTTTCTGAACACAAATTTAATTTGTTTTACTGGTGGGATAGGGCGTAATAAACTATGAAAAAATCTTTTTCCATTGAATTTTACGTATAAAATTAGCGAGTTTAACCAAAAATGTAGATCTATTCCCTTTCTTTTGATACATTACTTTTAAGTCATAAGGAATACATGTAGAATACGATATCTTTTTGATGAAAATGACCTAGCTGGAGATAGGTCGCGAAACAATGTTACCATTCTTCACTTATCGTTGGCCTTTAGTTAGTTTATGCGTTTAAAATTAAATCATACTTTTTTCTTCCATAGCACATCTACTGGTAGGACAACTATCTTATTGATATTGAATTTTTTTAAAGCTGGTGTCTGAACGCGACATGTTGCAGGTGAAGCCCAGGAAGGGTGCACTGTACCGGAAATGAAGCTTTTGAAAACTTAATTTATAGAGAGATGGACTATCAGTGTTTTTATACATTCGATTCATGTCCCCCTTTTTTAAGGAAAAGCCCATCAATGATGTATGATACTGTCGGAGTTACTAACGATACATCACGTGACGGGCCAGGCTGTCTCACATCACTCACAGTTTCGGTCCTTAGCAAATCGATCGCGTCCTTATTCGACAGTGTCATCCTCCCAAAAAATCTCGATTCATTAAGTGTTTAATGTTTGTGATTAGATTACAGAATAACGATATTTAAGTGTGAATTAGATAATCAATGCAGTAGGTCCACTTTTGTTCGTGTTATTTTGCTATAAAGTAGACGGTTCAACTGGTCTGAAGACCTAGATTCCAGCAGTCTTTTAATTACATTACGTACTAATGGTATAAGTTCAGTCGATTTTCCTCTGATATTTTATGAATCTTATACCCCAATAAAACGTCTGTCCTGGCAGGGTTTACAATGGATTTAAGCTTTAATCATTATTAGGACATGAAACAACAGGCATTGTGTGAAATGGCGCTTTTTATATTAAACATATCCGTATAGTCCTCTTATCTCACTAGCTATGTGAACTGCAAATCATATGGTGTTACTTTTCTAATATCAGTGGCTATATCACCCAATTCATTTCTTTCTTACACCATTTAAGGTTTCGCCTTACAAATTTGACTGTCCAATTTGAAATTACTTCCAACAAATATAAGTCGAACCTTCCTATCATCTGGCGAAGATGTATAGACATTTCGTGGCATAATTCTCTAATTTTCTCAACTGACTCTTTTTCTATTTGATTTTCCATTGAAAGTGGGGATATAATGAAAATCCAACAGAAGAGCAAGGTCCTAATTGCGCGCAGATGGAAGGCCCTTATCTGGACGAAACAAACCAAGACAGAAGTGATATAGGGGCCTAATCTTATTATAACGGGTGGTCAACTTGCAGTGAATTCTAAAATAAATATTCACTTTGGTACAAAACATGTGTCTGTTAGAAAAATTCTCTGCCTATCGGTTCAATTATAGCGCTCTAGATCGCCAAGGAACTGGCCGAAATGAGAGCTTAACGTCAACTTAGCTTAGCATCGTACATTAAATGTGTGCTCAAGTGTCCTCAGTTTTCTATTTTGGACATCTTTATCCCTGGGACACAGTATACAGGAAATACTATCTGACACCGTCTGTCAATACAAATGTAGGAAAGTCAATGTCTCTCTACCACATAGAATGACGAGGAAGACTTAGGCATTCTTGCATTCCTAGGGCATTTCTGTGCGAATTCAAACATTGGGCACCAAGCAAGCGCACAAAAAATAGCTTTGCACAGACCCTGAATCCAAACCCTGATTGCGGCTCAAGGCAGATTAAAGTGATATGATAGCTATATCATTTTTTTTGACGGTTACCTTCACAATTTTACTATAGTGCCACCATGTCATGACCTTCAACATTTTAACCTTATGTCAAGGTAACTGAGAAAAAAAATCATCTCTATTAAACATTTTCTCACTTGGATTAGGCATTATTTTTAGCTCAAATACTGTAAAACAATGCCCTTGACTTTTGAGAAGCTTGCGAGTCAAGATCATATCTGATAATCTTTGATATAGGCAAATTTATATTGCTGGCAAAAATGCAAAAAACAAACGAAGCCATGAGTTGACTGGCAGACATATTGACAAAGGAAATCCTGTTTAACCTCATTATACTTGGCGTGCTCAAAATGTGCATATTCAAAATCTAAATGTTGAGCCACCTTTTTTGAGTTGCTAACTATGGTGTCTTTATGGGTTTCTCTGATTTTGTGTATTCTAATAGAAACAATATGAGTATAACTTGTTACTAAATTTTGCTTGAAATGCTGTTATACCTTTGTTGTAAGGGTAGCACTATGAAGTATGTCTCCAGGCCAGAACAACTGGGAGGCAACCGTCACAGCTGTCAGACTCAAACTGACGTTACCACCGGCGTCAAATGTAGTATCTAGATTATGCTCGTCATGGAAGATGTATTTCCGAACAGCATTATGGAGCATGGCTAGCAGTATAGAAAATCCACCAAATCCTAGGACCATAAGTAAAGCCGACTCGTATCGCTCAAGAACGGGTTTAACTCTACAATGAAACACTCACCGGAGTTAGGTTGTGTTTTATTATCTTGTTGATATATTCAATTCATAAACTTATTTGTCAATAGCTTGTTGGTTTTTTTTTTTTTTTTTTTTTAGAAATTGTACGTAGAGCTTGCTCTTGTGTATCGATTTAACTGGGATACATAAAATCCTTATGCAGGTGATAAAGGTACATTGCTACACAAAAGTAAGGGAAGCTGAAGTTTTCACGTTTATCATAAAGTTTATTGTTAGATTACCACTATGACTCTGTGGTATCTTTTACTTCAAGCTCACTGGGATATATCGTGTCGACATATGAATGCAAATATCTATTGTTAATTGATATGTCGAGTTGAAAGCCAATGCAAGCTTTTTCTTCTTCTCGTGTAAATACGCAAGGTTTCAAATAAATTCTTCTTCATATGAATACAACAAATAGGTCTGATTATAACGGGGCGCAATTGGGACCCATGGGAATTCCAACGGATTGCTGGAAGAACCGGTCTCCAAAAACCACTTACAGTGTAGATATAGTCAATCAGAAACTCAAGCACCCTTTTAGTATCAACTTGAGAGTACTTGTATGTACAATCAGAATGTTTTAAGAAAACATATTTTCAAATGACCAGAAAAGTAAAATATACGAGTTTCATTTTATTGAAAAGGCAACTGTCACTGATGTTAAAATATCCTTGACTTAAATTTATCGTGAGGAATGATAGAAGAAAAGAGAAAAGACTCTGTTATGTCTGAAAATTTTGATTTGAAATATTTTTCTCCGAAAGTTCTACGACTAATCTGTCTCAATTTAACATCTGAAATCGTATGCTTAAGTTATAGTATATCTTCGATTTATTACATGTACTATAAAACACGGTTTATTCCAAGAAAAAAAATACATGTAGTAAAAGTATACATTGTAGGGATTGCAAAGTATTTGTGATGATACTAAAAGTGCATTAATGTTTTGGCAATGCTCTCAGAATGCTTATTTATATGTTTTTAATTAAATTTATTCATTAAGTACGAGTATATTTATCAAACGTTGGAGAGAAAAAAAGGTGAGCTGTATGGTCTGAATGGACTACAAATAATTTCGTGTAGGAACATACACATACTGAGTATTCTATTACATATGTCTTGTGATCGATATATTTTCTATTGCACAAAATCATATTTTTGATATTTTAAAATGAAGCTTATAGTTAATCTTATTTAATCTCTCTATCTCAATGCAGAAGCTGTGAGCGCTGTGGTTCATGAACCTGGATCCATGTGAGATTGTATAAAAGTACACGAATTTAAATGAAATTGTCAAAGTTAAACCACTCACTTAGATTTTTGACCCATTTACGTTACCTCCGTTAAACTTTAAGAAGGAGTAAAACACGATAAGAATAGCAATACTAAGAACAATACAAATAATATTCGTGGACATGAAAAAAAAAAATAGGGGGTCACAGAGGAGAGTGAGAGCGCAATAACATGTCTGGCTTAAAGTTTGATCAAGGATGCAGACTTAATAAACAGCTACCAATCTATAATTTCACATGATCAACTTAAAAACAAAAAGAAAATAATGGACAGAAAGAAACAAAAAGTAACATTTTTTGAAGATGTCCAGTATCTACAGTTTGATACAAACTTTTGACTCAAACATTTCAATTGCTTTCTATATTCTTTGGTTTATTCAGTCCATGAGGTGCAATGATAACGATGTATTGATGAGATAAAATATTGACTGTCATTGCTTTACTGAGATAAAAACACAAACGAGAGAGAGAGAGAGAAGACTTACCCAGTGGTTCCGGGTGCTGGACTGAGGGTCGCTGGACATGCTGACCTGTTGAATCCTGCAACCACGGTCACACAAAGTCCTAGCAGGACGAAATTTTGACTTCTCACCATGTCGCACGTTGGGGGTAAATACCAGCACCTGAGGAGGGTCAGTCGAGGTCGACAGGTAACGGGAAGTTCTCACGGAGGATTCCTGCGCGGGGAATGAAGCTGGTCGCGTCTGTGGAATCTATTATATACGCTCTCATACAGAACACATTACCCCTTCAATAGTCGATAGACCTGGTGTAAAGAGGGCATCAATTATAACGAACCACCCAAGATTTATTTTCTCTCAGTTTACAAATACATGCATATTGATACAAAGTATTCATAATTATGTATTACAATGAGATCTATCAATTTTTGATAGTTTTAGTCCACGAGAGAGAGAGAGAGAGAGAGAGAGAGAGAGAGCACAGAACCCGACTGGAGAGGAAGTGAGTATCCTTATTTAGTGATTGCGGCAGGACGTTCCAAAAAATAATAAATTCTTAATATATTTTTTCGTCTTATTCAAATATACTAGAAAACTATACAGCATTGCATGACGACATGGCGTTTAAATTTAATAATGTTATTTATTAGTGTGATTATTTTATCAATAAAAATTAAAACAAGTTAATTCAGAGAAATGTGTCCCTTGCTTAACGAAAAAAAGAAGAGTATGCGCGGATCTAGTAGTGGGGGTCAAAATGGGATTGGTGAGGGGCAGGTGGGGCAATTGGAGTAATAGTATACAATTTCATTGCAAAACTTAAAAGCTTCGTGAGATATCGCCTTGAAATGAATTTTACACACTAACAGTGTATGAATATATACGACCTTTGTTCTCAAAATAAATAGAGGTCCATTTTAGGCCAAAGGAAGTCGTAGTATAAATTTCGCTGCAAAATCCCAATGAATTCTTGAGTTTCGCCCAGAAACGAAAGTGTTAAGACAGACTAAATTTATTACCTTGACCTTTGACCTTAAAATCGATAGCCCTTTTTCTTAGGCCGTAGGGAGTATAATTTTTCGCAAAAGCGAGAGAAATGAAAGTGTAACAGTGTGACAGAAATATAGACGGATGAACAGACAGACGGACAAACTGATATTAATTACCCTCACTGTGTGAAAGTGTGAGACAATAAGGACGTTTACATTGGATATGCCATATACACAACTAGCTGCAATGCATTATGGAGCCAAAGGCTTTCTTTTCGGTGTTCATTCCGTTTCTCGACTTTGTCTAGATATGAACACATTGGCTTTCCATTGTATATAAATATCACCTGCAAATCCTTACAAAGCCCCAATTAGCAAATAAGTACTTGCATTATTTTGAAACTTGTTACACATTGTTTTTACAGGAAATATAAATCTTGAATTGCACATACATAACCTTGAACCAAATCCAAATAAATATGGCTACTAGTAATTTCCACATTTTGGGGTGCTTATTATCTAAAATATCAAAGACCCATTAGGCACAGCTAGTGAAATGTACATAAATTTAGATATAACTCTTCAACAGAAATACTGGTGATCATTTTTTCAGATAACCTTGCAAAATGACTGTTTAAAAACATTAATGTTTTGATTTGAATTTTGCTGTTTCCTCTCTTGATGACAATGGTGTTATGATTTACATCAATAGATGGAAAGAGAAAACAAACAAAATATTTTGTGAGAATATCAATAATTTATTTATAAAGATAAAAATTAACTTAATCTTTGATATTTACAATATCACATAAAATAAACAAAGAATAAATATGCTTAAAGTTGCAGCACCCAATACTGCAGTAAAGCAAAGAGTATATTTAAGTCTATCATAATTTTAACTTCTAAGGCCTCTGAGGGACTTCTTCCAAGTTATAAATAAACATCTAAAATGTATTCAGCAGATCTTAAAAATATCATGTACAAAATAGATGGGACTTCTGTAGGCTATGGCCAAACTGTGGATCGACTACAACAAATTGATTTTGTGTGCTTGAACCACTAAAAACCTACAGTGTATTTGCAATCAAGCACATATTTCTTATTAAGTTTATTATAAACAAGTAAAATGGTCATGGACAGCACAAACACCATATTACATATGAGGTTGTGTTTGGTCCAAGGTGTGGCAATTTGGTATCACAGTAATTTGTAACTTGTATAATAATTTGTAATTGGTATAAAGTGTTATTTGTAACTGATGAAGCAACAATAAGATGATACACTGATTAACAAACTTACATTACGGCATGTAAAGGCTATCTAATGATGGAATGCTATGATGCACTGAATGCTATGATGCAGTATCATCTTGATCTTGTCTATGCACATCTGCTAAAGTCTTCTGTTCAGATAGATCGCTCTGATTGGTCGCTCCAGTATGAATATTTTCATTGGTCAATGTTATATCAGTTTGATTGGTCTTTACAGTGACTTGACCTGTGCCCTGACCACTGTTCTGTGTGTCTGTTGTGTTGTCCCCTGTCTGTGTGTCTGTTGTGTTGTCCCCTGTCTGTGTGTCTGTCCTGTTATCCCCTGTCTGTTGGTCTGTCCTGTCCACTTCCTGGTCACTTTCCTCGTCCTCGAGGACCACGTAGTTACTCATGCTGGGTGTGGCCTGGGTGACCTGTGGGAAGGGCCGTTCACTGTTCTCCAGGGATGTCGCATCCCAGTCTGCACTGCTCTGGGAGCCCAGTAGATCCCTGTGGGAAGAGGAAGGGGTATTATCCCCTGCAAGGAGAGGGGTCCGTTCATTGTCAGATTTCATCTTTGACTTGCTGATAGTTTTTTTCATTGTTTTGCCTGTAAACAGATATTTTATTTAATAAAAAAAAAAATTAAGGTAAGTATTAAGCTTTAGATAAGATTAAAAGGAGAGCTTGAGTCAAAACATGAATTCTTACTTTTTTTTAAATTATAAGTAAAACTAATATTTTCTACGTTATTAGTTTACATGCATACTTTTATTCTATACTATTGTTTTACATGTATCAAAATACATTTTGTATACTAAGGAAGTATATATTGGTATGTCAACCAATTTTCTTCACCCACAAATTCTGGAAGATTTACAACATAGGATAAATGAAAAACTCAGTATTCTATTATATGTACCAATACAGTTGAGTAGTTTAAGAATTTTTCAATTCTCGACCTTCACATATGCATACTCACTGATGACCTTGACATGCTCTATGACATCATCTTTCATGTCTGACACATCCCACATGGACAAGAATGAGGAAAAACAGCTGACATTCTCATTTTCACTGCTGATGAAAGGTTTGTGGGAAAATGAATAATAATGAGCAATGGCCGCCAAGAACATCTCAATGCAGATCAAGAAGTCCTGGATTTTAAAGAAATATAAAATTAATACCGTATACACTATTTTGCAATTTTAGCTTCTCAGAAAGACAACAGATTTGAGTTTTGTTTTCTGTTTATACCGTATAAGTTGAAATTATGGCAAGACGCAAATTTAGCCATTTTTAAAAAGCTATTACAAATAAAGTGCAATTAATTTTTAGCGGTATTCAATTTTAGTGATCTTGGCACCCTCATTAAAAATGTTTAAATTAAATCCTCCCTAAAAAATTCTGCTTATACAGTATTTGAAATTTATAAGTACTATATATAAACCTGTTGGCCAATACCTGTAATCCCGTGGCAACATCTTGGATGGAATGGTAGAAGACCCAAGTACCATCTTCAGGAATCCAGCCCACTTTGACCATTATAGCAATGGCCACTGACTGCCTAAAGAAATGGAAGAGACCTTTACCTAGGTATCTCATCAAGAATTGGAATGTTTACTGTACAATTTACAATGGTTCATTGAGGAAAGCACTTACCAGAATGAGAAGAAGACAACAAATTTAACACAGAGGAACTTTGGCAGTGGGTTAATGGGAGCTAACTCTTCCTTCATTGCTTTATAAAACAACACCAGGCAGTACATAGCCCACTAGAAATAATATCATAGTTGTCAAACTTAATAAATACAAAATATTGGAAGAATGTAAACTTTAACAGAGGGTATATGGTACCTACAATTTGTGAGATGTTGTTGATAATCACTAAATAGGACCAGGCTGATTTAAAATCAAAGTCTCCTTCATTATACACATCATTTAGCTGACAAATTCTGCAGGGAAAAAATGTAAATATGTTAAAAATTCCAAAGAAAGTACATGTAGCTACTACATAGTTGAAGCATCTTTCCTTATTAAAAGTTAATTTATTTTTTATCTAAATTCTAATTTTCTAAAGCAAGTAAAATCTTTGTTTCATAAGTTTTCACTACTTACAAAGCTATAACTGTTGTCACTGGTCTAACAATGGTATACTGTAATGCCCCATGTTTACATCTGTTGATGAATGAGCTGAAAAAAATATGTTGTTTTATTATACTGCATTTACAAAGAAACAAAATATATACCCATATAAAAGATTTTTTCTAAAAATGAATGGTGGTAAACCAGTAAAAGATAAGATTAATCAATTATAATTTTGCAAACTTGAAGATTTAAAATCTGAGATTAATAGTTAAAATTATTAAACAATAAAATGCTTTCCCTGGTTGTTTGTATGAAAATTAATGTTGCAGCTGTTGCAGAAAAAAACCCTGTGCAAATGGGATTTGTAATTTTTTTCCTGTGAAAACAATAATGTTAATTCCCAACCTATCGATCAAAGAGACATTTTATTTGAAGTTTAAATATATGTATGAATAATAATTCAAATTAATCCTACTCCTCAAAACTAGGTGGCTTGCTTAGCACCATTTAAGTACTGATAAATGACTTTTGATTTCTTAAAACAAGAAGGAAATAATATCCTATTATGAAATACATGTAATGTATAACAAATTAAATTACCCTAAAAATTTCTAAGAGAAGCTGTAAGTATTTATTTGATAAAAGAAACTATATACTGAAGATAAGATTGTGCTTAAATCCATCAATTATCAAGTAAGACAAAATAAAACTTATCACAGAAAGTGGCTTATATGTCTAGCAATTTGTTATCTAGAAAAAACAGTAGCAGATAAATACCAGGAAGACTTACTATTTCATTTGCCAGGAAGGAAAACAACAGAATGGACAGATATGTTTGACAGGTTCTTTGTTTCTGAGTGCTATTTCAAGGTTAGGGTTTTCTATCCATAAGTAATTTAACAGGTAGGCCATGAAGTTGTAAATGACATAAGCTTCATAGCATTCTCTGAGAGTGTCCAGGTAAATGGCAGCATCTGGAAATCGTAAGGCAAACCACTGAAAAATACAAAAAGCTAAAATAAATGATGACGGAATTTTAGTCTAAGCCAGTCCTATTTCAGGTTTTGAAATAAATTACTTATGTATCAAAATGTTGCCTACTTACTGCATTGACTGCATATATTGGGACCATCCATAATATTCTGCAAAAATAAATATTCTATCAAATATTCATATTATACAGTAAAATCTGACACTTTTATTTATACTTATACATTGTGTGCTACTCTTATACCGCTTCTTCATTCAGTCCAAAACTCATTAAGCCCATTACCGGTAATGTTCATAGCCATTTGCTGACTGATAATGATATTCCTGAAACTCATGATTACAATATGTCTACCAAGGTTGTTTGTTTAAATTAAATCTGCACTTTTGTTGATTTCAAGAAATATAAATATGTAGGACTCCAAAGTGCTATGGGACTCCAAAGTCCAATGGTCATGCCAAAGTCCGATGGTCTGCGCAAAACCCTGATGGATTGACACGCCAAGGTCCGATGGTGCCGAAAACAATTAATGTTTATGACGTCAAAGTACTTCTGCACAAAAATGCGATGCCGCGCCATACCATGGCCCGATTGTTTAAAATAAATACAAATATAAATATTAAACGCAACGATTAAACCTCATCTTTTGGATATACCCTAATCAGTCGAAAAATGCAAAATATGTGGGTGGGTGCAAGACTAACCCTAATTACTCGACTAGTGTGCGAGGACTAACCTTAAATCTCTCCAGTTGTGCAATGCAAGGACTCACCCTAATCAAGTGAGAGGTGTGCAAGGACTAACCCTAATATATCTGGAAGGTGCAAGCAATAAGCCAAATCAATAAAATTGTATTCGAGGACGAATTCAGAAATGATGGCTTTTGAATGCAGGACAATGGCGTCAAGGATTGACGTTGGACTATTGTGATGACATAAGCATTGATTGTTCCTCCGCACCATCAGACTTTGGCATATCAGACCATCGAGCTTTAGCACAACATGTCTCATAGGAAACGAGCCATCGGACTTTGGCGTGACCATTGGACTTTGGCATCCGTAAAGACAGCTAGCCATCGGGGTTTGGCGCAGACCATCGGGGTTTGGCGAGACCATCGGACTTTGGCGTCACCATCGCACTTTGGAGTCTTACAAATATATTGACCAATAAAAAACTACCACGGTATTAAAGTCTTTATGCAGAACACTTAGAGTCTTAGACTGTTTTTTAGAAAATGGCCCATTTTAATAAATAAGCTCTAAGCCATGTAAAATTTCTTGAAGAGTAATGTTATATGTTAGGTTTATCCGAGATTCTTCTGACTCTAACCCCTGCTTATAATATTGTGACTTTTGCAGGGACACAAGTCACAATATAAAAAGCAGGGATTAGAGTCAGATGAATCTAAGATTAATGTTAGGTCATTTTTGTTTTACCATATTGTACATCCTTAAAAAACAACTCTCTCTGTTGTAAGATATAAGAAACTATGAACTTAAGCACATACCATATATTTACATTACAGCTCTTTCGGATCATAATGTTATCCAATTAAATTAGTGATATCATGTACTGTTTAGAAGATCAGAAGATTGTTCCAAAATGTTATACCTAATGATATGTCTTTGAAGAACTGGTTGAGTATAGTTGACTAAGTGTTGAAGTATACCCCAAAATGATATGGGGATAGCCATCATCACAAATATTCCACCAGCAAACCATGCCTGCACGTGCTTGGGCGCACCCTCTCTATTAAGTTCCACAACACACAGCGGAAGCGCTATTATTGCCAAGACAAAATATAAGCCGATAAAAAACGGTCGAATCCAGTGTCGCCATTGATGAAAAAAATCCATGTCCCCGTACTTCTCAACTACAAAATGTTTATTTCATTTCAAAGTTAGGTCTAAAAGGAAGAAAACAAAACACTTCTGCTATCAATGTTTTCCTCCTACCGTCTACCATGTTTACATCATGTGATCATCACAAGACTTTGTTAAGTCGTACTCAAAATTACTATATATTTTTACCATTTTAGATATTCATTATGATACTAAATACAGTTAGACCATTTTTATATTTTAAATAAGTCATGTTGTAGATGAATAAATGTTAAAAGTTTATTTCATCTATAGTTTTAAGTCTCCTTTTAACTTTTAGATTGTGGTACGACTTGTTTATATTTTACCTTGAAAAATGAAAGTAGAATTTTCAGTCAGATGATCATGTATCATTGTAGTTGACGTGTTGTTATTGTTCTTAACAACGTTTAACGGTAAGGTAAGAAATATCATTTTATCCAATAAAATAGAAAAATACATCACTTATTTATTTTCTTTTGCCGAAATTTTCAAAACGTGAAATCTGTTTATTGAAATTTCCCAACCTAGCTAAGGATCAATCCCGATCAGTAGGTTGATGAAATAAGTAAAAAAAAAAAAAAATTATTGTTCTAACTTTTTACACTATCTTTTTAGCATTCTATACACAGGCACTTGTGGTATATATCATACACTTCAAAAGACTTTTTCTTGGCAATTGAATTGCTTTAGAAGTCTCTGATTGAGCCTCTTAATTGTAAACCACTCATTTATTCCTTGAAAATTACTTCAATACATTTTAAGATGAGAAAGACTTTAAATGGTAAACAAACAATATCACTTTTATGTAGGTTAATGATTGATATATTAACAAAATATGAGCTTGAAGTGGGGATGACGGATATTGAGATACCTTAGAGTAGTGGTTGAAATAAGTAGGGGTGCCCAATGTATGAAAAAAGTGCCTGTGATTATAATTGATTATGAATAATTAAACATGTAATTTGGGATTGTATTTTGTAGTGTTTGCATTCAAGAAATTTTCAGCATGGCAGAATGCCAGATGGAGAGAGGTTCTCGGGGAGCAAGACCTCGTCCCCAAAGGCCACCCCCAATAAACCAAAGCAGGGACAACATTACAGACTTAAAGTCATTCCAGAAGTTACATGATTCTGCATTCAAAGCTATCAACAAAGGACTTGCTTTGGATGAGGAATCAAATATCCCACTTGCTTTAACCAACTACCAGAAAGGACTAGAACAAATTGAGAAAGGACTAGTGATAAATGCAGAAAATTTGAAATGTTCAGAAGATGAGAAGAATGAAGTGAAATTAATGCAGCAGAAAATGACAAAAACTAAGCTTCAGATTGAGTATCGAGTGCAGTCTTTGACTCAGACTAGGAATGGATCTATGGAAGTTGAGGCCCCTCCATCCTATGAGGAGTCCATCTCCTCCCCAGGGTCAGTGTCAGATGAAGCTTTTATTTCCTTGGGAGATTCTATAATGGGTGACCAGTCATCTGATGACACTCTCTCAGCTAATGCAGAGGAGATCTTTAATATACCTGATGGAGTACAGATATTTTACATCACACCAGAGGGATTTGTTAGTGCTCCTTCTTACCCAACCTCCCTGAGAATATTCCGGTTTACAGACCCACCTCCTGCAGAAGATCAGAATAGACCCCCAGCATTTCTGAAAGTAGACAATTGGATGTACCCTTTGGTTCCTGGAATGTCCCCAGCACTGCATGCTACAAATGGTTCATACATTTTTCCTGATGTAACTGCATCCAGTGAAGGTAACATCTAATATTGATTTATGAATTAACTGTTATAACATGGTCATCCCAGTTTTCTAGAGGATTGAATTTTTCTATTGCTTCTATTGTAGGGTCCTCAGTTGGCTTGATTTTGCCCCCTGATGCGACCCCAAGACAGAGACAACAGTTTGAACAAACTTTGGCGTCAATGACAGCTCTGCTGGATCAGACTACACCAACAGCCCCACCCCTGGAGCAAGAGCCCTCAGCACCACCCATGCAAATCGAGCAAGAAGCTACCCACATATCTACAAAAGGTTTGATTTGCTCAGAATGTATCAAAGAATCTTGATATTAATTAATTTATTTTTTTCGATTTATTTTTACAGATTTGGATGAATCATCATAATTAGAATCCATAGCATATTTTTATTAACATGTATTTTTAAAATAATTGTTTAGGTGGTGTTACTGTGGCAGAATCAGAGGTAACTGTGAAGGAGAAAACCGAAGAAGGAACATCTACAAAGATAGCCAAGGGCATCACAATAGGTAAGGGATCAAGACAAAGGCTGAAGTTTGCTTAGAAAAGGTAGAGTCTTGTTTGACCAAAATTCACATTTACCACTCAAACAATTATAGTACATGTGTATCAGTTCTGAGCAAAGCCTGGATTCTTGGTTGATGGGAGATACATGTACCTTTTAAGAAAAAAATCAGGAAGTGATATTTTCCTTGAATTTTGAATACATGTATTTATAAACAGTTTTTAATTTCACTTCAATTTTGAAAAAAGTTGCCTCCCTTCCTTGTTAAACTGAAATAAAGATCCCAGGCAGCAATTCTAAACAACATGTGGGATTGGAGACTGGCCGTTCAGATGAGATTATTGGTGTAGTGTGGCAGTAGATGTTGGCATGAAAAAAATTCCTTACTACTCATTGACCCTGAGTGCCAAGCATAGTATAAATTTGCAGTCCTTCAATGGCAAATGGTGACCTCTATATGAGCTGAAATTTCTCAAGAGAGACATTAAACAACAAACAATCAAACAGAACATGTACCCATAGATTGAATTCAAGTATACATCTTATTAATGATACTTTTGTAAAGAGGTTATCTAAAATAACATTTACACTTCCTATTTCAGCCTCTCAGTGGATTTCCTGGGGTCTGGAGAAGGGGTCAGAGAAAGCTGGACACTACATAAAACTAGGATCCGAGAAATTAAAGGGACATCTAGTTCCTGAACAGCCCAAACCAGTCGACCCAAAGCTGCAGAAAGGAGCAGAGTATGCTAGGAAGGGGGCTCATGTCGCTGTGTCTGTCAGCTCATATGTAGGTAAGGATGAATAAGATCAAAATCACCTGAATGTATATCTATTGGTAAAAGAGGCCAGGCATGTAAATTTGTCAGCAGGTTGAGAAGTTAGATAGGTGATCTGAAAAAGGGCTCAACATTGTCCTTTTTCAAATTGTCTATTTTGAGTTCATTTTGTGATTAGAAAAGTATCTTAAATTACACTTGTTTGATCAGATAAGTTTCCTTTTTCACACCTTTTTGATACCTTTTTCACAATTGTCAAATACATAAAAAAAACATTCACAGAATGCACCCAACACTTTTATTAAAATGATTTAAACATGCAGTGCAAATCCATACTCCATAACACTCAGCAAAACCTCAACGAATATCATTATCAAACAAGTATTAATTAAGTTGGAGGAGATGCTTAATTGAAGATTTTTTGTATATCTGAGAAAATGTAGACTTATTCTTTTATAGGTTAAATCAAATATATATATATATCTGATATTAGCCTATTCCTCAGTTATAAACTCAATTATATTTTAGTGACAAAGTTGGGTCAGGCTACAGTGGCAGTAGCTAGAGAGGTGGCGCCACATATCAGAAAACAAGGGCAGAAACTCCTTCCAGAATCTGTCAAAAGCAAGGCAGGTGCCTCTGGCAGTAATCCTAAAGTGGACAAAGTCATAGACGGCACAGTGGAGGTGGCAGCCTCCGGACTTAAAGGTTGGCAGTTTGAATCATCATTAATTATAGATTTAGATGTACATTTGTAATTTAGAAGTAAGAAGTAACTTTTATTATGACAGGTTTTGGGACAGTTTTCATGTCACTTTTGTTACATGTATTTTTAATATTACAGGTTTTGGGACTGTTTTTATGTCACTAGAGGCAGCTGCTAAAGCCCTGGCTAGAAACCTGGCTAATGAGACCGTTACCGTGGTCAGTCATAAGTAAGTACACAATAAATGTACCTGTGCATTAAATGATTATAAAATCAAAATTCATTTTTATATCCTTGCAAATGTTTCTCTGTTTAATCATACAAGTAAGACTGTAGGTTCTTTTAGAGTTTTATGTCTGTAACAGTGAGAGAAATCAAAAATATAACATTCAATACAAGTTCAGTCCAGCAGATCTCTTCAGAGACTTTTTAGGTCACCTGAGTAACTCAAGTGACCTATTGCTATCCGTTTCCGTCCGTCATCATGTGTCGTGCGTCGTGTGTTAACATTTGAACATTTTTAGCTTCTTCTCTGAAACCACTGAACCAATTTCAACCAAATTTGGTATACAGCATCTATGGGTGAAGGGGAACAAAACTTGTGAATTTTATGGTTCCCGCCCCCCCCCCCCCCCCCCCCCGGGGCCTGAGGGGTGGGGCCAAAACCACTAAAATTATTGCAATCTTTAAAAATCTTCTTTACTCCTGGACATCAAGCAGGCAAACTGTTGGCATGAATGTAATGAGCATTGAGTCCTCTACCAAAATTGTGAAATTCATGGCCCCAGGGTCCGGGGTTCTAGTGCTAGGGCGGACTATATAGATTATATAATGAAAATACATGATTTCTTTAAAAATCTTCTTCTCTTCTGGGTATTAAGTAAAGTAACTAAGTACTTAGTTATGATGAACAAGAGTGCCTCTTCCAAAATTGTGAATTTTATTGCCCCAGGGTCAGGGGTTCTAGTGTTAGGGTGTGGCTCTATTGGTTACATAGTGAAAATGCATTTATTCTTTGAAAATCTTCTTCTCTGCTTCTGGGTATTAAATAAACTATTTAATTACATAGTTATGATGAGCAAGAGTGCCTCTTCCAAAATTGTGAATTTTATGGCCCCAGGGTCAGGGGTTCTGGTGTTAGGGCGGGGCTCTATTGGTTATATAGTGAAAATGCATTTATTCTTTGAAAATCTTCTTCTCTGCTTCTGGGTATTAAATAAACTATTTAAGTACATAGTTATGATGAGCAAGAGTGCCTCTTCCAAAATTGTAAATTTTGTGGCCCCAGGGTCAGGGGTTCTGGTGTTAGGGTGGGGCTCTATTGATTATATAGTGAAAATACATTAATTCTTTGAAAATCTTTCCTTTGCTCCTGGGTTTTATGCCAATGATCCAAGAATATATATTTATGATGAAGAAAGGTGCATCTAGCAAAATGGTTATTTTTTATGCCCCCTCCCCTCCTGGGTCATAGTCTGAAAATGAATTAATGCTTTGAAATCTGCTCTTTGATATTAATCAACCATTTTAGGATAAAATTTGCAAAATTTTGAAATATGTGGCCCCAACGTCAGTGGTTCCTTTGGGATGATGTGCACAACTGGTTATAAAGTGGAAGTGCATTTTCTCTTTGTTACTCTGATCTACCTTTGGGTATTAAGTAAATAGAGTAAGCATGCCAGTGGCGGATTTAAGGGGGGGCGCACCCGGCGCCCCCCCCCTAAAATTGTCAAAGTTAACGTAAATCACAGTTTCGTCTACAAAATGTTAATATGTATACTCGGTAGACCTCATTTTTACCCTACAAAATCTCTAGAATCCAGGAGCTTCCGGGGGCTTCGCCCCCTGGACCCCCACCAGGGCTTCGCCCTGGACCCACTGGGGGCCTCAAGACAGCCCCCAGACCCCTTGCCTACTTTTGACGCTCCCCCTAACTTCAAATCCTGAATCCGCGCCTGCATGCTAAGTCTATAATTATGATAAGCAATGGTGCCTCTTTCAAAATTGTGAATTTCATGGCCTCTGGTTTAAAATATGAACCAAATTTAATTGTTTGAAAGTTGTTGCTCAATACTCAGGTGACCTATAAGGCCCGTGTTATGCATAACTTCATTCATCCTTTTTCGTCCCTGTCACATGGCACAGTTATAGAAAACTGAATTAAACAATTAGAGCCTAGATCATAATGTCTTGTTCATTTTATACACTTTTATTATCATTCTCCTGTTTAACAGTCCAGTATATAAATGAACAAGAAGTAATGATCTAGGATAAAATTATTTAATAGAGACTACTTCTCTATAACTACTGGCATGCTATTATGTAAAACAGGAGAGTGCATGATAAATTGATAATGATACATTGTGATTATCAGGTATGGAAGTGAAGCTGCCAAGCTATCGGAAAATGCCTTGTATACAGTAGGAAATGTTGCCATGACAGCTTACAATGTAGACAATCTGGGTGTAAAGGCCATCGCAAAACGAGCAGCTAAAGAGACAGGAAAAGAGTTAGTAAAAGACATTCACAAGGAGTGGAAAGACGGCAGCAAAAACTCCAGTTATCAGTACTCAGCATTAAAAGACCAGCAGGAAAAACGTCCTTAGATTTATAGCTGTGTATATACTGTCATTATATCAATGTTATTTATATGTGGTGTAAGAAGCATTCCTGTAGGAACTCTGTTGATCTGTAATTCTGTATACTACTATAATACTGTGTGACATTAGTTTTAAATTGAAAACATAGTTATAGACTTTTTCTGACCTAAGAAGGGTTGGACCCTAAACTGTGATATCTTTCAAAAGATAGGTCGAGTAGAACCTTCCAGTAATTTTGGTTTAATGAAAATCTGAGATATTTTATCAAACTGAATATAAAAAAAAAATTGTGTAATATTAGACATTTTAATTTAAAATACATGTATTCAATAATATTTTGCTGAAATTGACCTACTGTCTTGTTTGCCTGAATATGCATATATAAAACTACTTTGTATCCAATTTAACTATATTTGTTAATATGTACAAGATAGACTTCATTTTTTCTATCAAATGACTTCCAAACACACAAGTTGTTGAAGACACAAAATCTCATTTTTATTGTCTTTTGTACTTCTAAACCAAAATTACAACAGAAATAAAAATTTTCGCTATTTTTCAACACTTTTCTTTTTTAGGTCACCTGCGTAAACTCAGGTGACCTATTGCTATCTGTTTTCGTCCGTCGTCGTGCGTCGTTTGTCGTGCGTCGTTCGTCATTAACATTTGAACATTTTCAGCCTCTTCTCTGCAACCACTCAACCAATTTCCACCAAATTTTACACAAAGCATCTATTGGTGAAGGGGAACAAAAATTATGAATTCCATGGTCCCTGCCCCCCTAGGGCCTGAGGGGTGGGGCCAAAACCACTAAAATTAGTGCAATCTTTAAAAATCTTCTTCTTTACTCCTGGACATCAAGCAGTCAAACTGTTAGCATGAATGGAATGACCATTGAGTCCTCTACCAAAATTGTGAAATTCATGGCCCAGGGTCAGGGGTTCTAGTGCTAGGGTGGGGCTGTATTGATTATATAGTGAAAATGCATTATTTCTTTAAAAATCTTCTTCTCTACTCCTGGGTATTAAATAAACTAACTAAGGACATAGTTATAATGAGGAAGAATGCCTTTTGCAAAATTGTGAATTTTATGGCCCCAGGGTCAGGGGTTCTAGTGCTTGGGTGTGGCTCTATTGATTATATAGTGAAAATGCATGATTTCTTTAAAAATCTTCTCTACTCCTGGGTATTAAATAAACTAACTAAGGACATAGTTATGATGTCAGAGGAAGAATACCTTTTGCAAAATTGTGAATTTTATGGCCCCGGGGTCAGGGGTTCTGGTGTTAGGGCTGGGCTCTATTGATTATATAGAGAAAATGCAGAATTTGTTTGAAAATCTTCTTCTCTGCTGCTGGGTATTCAACAAACTAACTAAGTATATAGTTATGATGAACAAGAATGCCCCTTCCAAAATTGTGAATTTTATGGCCCTAGGGTCAAGGGTTCTGGTGTTAGGGTGGGGCTCTATTGATTATATAGAGAAAATGCAGAAATTGTTTGAAAATCTTCTCTGCTGCTGGGTATTCAACGAATTAATTAAGTATATAGTTATGATGAGCAAGAATGCTTCTTCCAAAATTATGAATTTTATGGCCCCAGGGTCAGGGGTTCTGGTGTTAGGGCAGGGCTGTATTGGTTATATAGAGAAAATGCAGAAATTGTTTGAAAATCTTCTTCTCTGCTGCTGGGTATTAAATAAACTAATGTAGTGCATGTATATAGTTATGATGAGCATGAATGCCTTTTCCAAAACTGTGAATTTTTATGGCCCCAGGGTCAGGAGTTCTGGTCTTAGGGTGGGGCTCTATTGATTAAATAGTGAAAATACATTATTTCTTTAAAAATCTTTTTCTCTGTTCCTGGGTATTAAATGAACTAACTAAGTACATAGTCATGATGAGGAAGAATGCTACTGTGAATTTTATGACCCCAGGGTCAGGGGTTCTGTTGTTAGGGCGGGGCTCTATTGGTTTTATGGAGAAAATGCAGAAATTGTTCAAAAATCTTCTTCTCTGCTCCTGGGTATTAAGCAGATGAACTACCTATATAGCTATGATGAGCAAGGGCCATTCTTCCTGAATTGTGAATTTCAACGCCCCTGGGTAAGGGGTACCATGGGGGGAGGGGCTCTACTTATATACTGAAAATGAATTGATTAAAATCTTCTCCTTTGTATTAATCAAATAATTTTGATGAGCAAGTTTTTCCAAAATTTTGAAATGTGTGGACCAAGGGTCAGGGGTTCATGTGTGGTAGTGGCACTATACTGATTATTGCTGAATATTACTGATTAGTCGAAATGCATTTTTTTGTTCCCCTACTCTGTCTATGGGTATCACGTAACCAAACTAAACATGCTAAGTGTATAGTTATGATTAGCAATGGTGCCGCTTTCAAAATTGTGAATGCCATGATGTCTAGTTTAAACAGTGTTAAAACATGAACCAAAGTCAATCGTAGTTAAGTTGTTGCATGATGCTCAGGTGACCTATAAGGCCCATGGGCCTCTTGTTTAATGTTAAAAAGGTTCTGCCGTATTGTTTATACAGAAACTTTGATATCATAACATTTATATTTATTTGATTCTGAAAGTTTTCAATAAAATGTAATTTATTTTATGTATCTTTGTCTCAAATCAACCCCCTCTGCATCACAATAAAGTGTCATTTACATCCCTACAAATTATAGCCTTTATTATTTCTGCAAGAGAGAAATAAATGATCATAATGGAAGTAATCATGGCATCTTTAATAATATATGATAAGTTAATTGGCTCTGTTCTCCCACTGATATAAAAAAATCAACATGTAAGTTTGATAATTATAAAAGTTTGTATACACCTTTGCCCTTCTTATTTTCAAGCCTTGAGTCCTAAGTTTTTAAAAGAGTTGTCCCTCTTGTGCTGAATATAATAAAAACCATCTACTGTCTTAGATAAAGGATGATGTGACATAACTGCTATCCGGGGCCCCCTTTTCTACGACGAATTATATTTAATCTACAATGATGTTGGTAGTTTTCAAACACGAGTGAATAAATACGACGCCTTTTGAATAGTTTCAATAGTTCAGACACATTTTAATTATAAGGAATACTGCATTATCTTCGATTTTTTTTAGACCCTATCACAGCTAAATTCAGCTAGATTTGTGCGAATATTTTTTTTATGGCAAGAGAATGGGCGGGTCTTAGTACAATAGAGGGATATGCGTGTCCGAGAAGACCTTATATGGCTATTGTTATTATTTTGCATTTAGTCATGGTTCAATCCGATGACAGAACAACAAAACATGCTGGTTTACTACGTTTACATTTTATCGCAGACACGTGGTTTAGGTCAGTTTACATGTTTTCCTTTTCTACATTTCAAACTTTTAAAATGGTCAGCCAGTACTGTTTATACTTTATTATACGCATGGATTTTCAGCATTTACGGTTTTTTGGACAAGAAATGCACATGAAACTTGTATTTACCGATACTCGGGAATACGTGTAGACCTAGCGAGATGCTCACCAAACACGCTACAAAACTTTAAATCAATGTATACCATGTGTATATTCTATCAATTGTTTGTAACTGTATATAAATTTTACTGTGGTATCGAAAATGGTACATATGTAGATCCGTGCCTAATCTGTGACTCAAATGCATAAAAAAAATATCGGAAAGCAGTAATTAAATTCCAAGCATGTTTCCATAGTATTTTTGTGGTACTCACTCGTAACAAATTTCATTTAGCTGATTGGTCAGTTAGAGAGTATCGCCTGTGCCTCGATTAGCATATGAATTCATTCTTACGTCAGAAAATCTAGTTCCGTCGATCTGTTTTTAATGGGAAAGGCCAGCTAGATTTTACGATTTTTTAAAAAATAGCATGTGAGCGCAGTTAGGTACAATTTTCTTCTTTGACATATAGGTCGATTTCAATAAAATACAGGATACAGCCAAAAGAGAAAATTGTACCTACCTGCGCTCGTATATTTTAAGGTCTTCAAAGAGTGGGGCAGGGTTAAAATGCAATGGGAATTGAATGTAAACATGATACCCCTACCACAATAAAAGATCTATATCTTTCAAATCACGTTTCTATTTTTGTTAAAAATAGTATTCTATAATGGTACACATATCAGTGATTAGTCACATACAAAAATTTGAGTAAAATTTAGACATTTAATTTTTTGTCAGTATACGAGGGGCCGCAAGTCACCTCATCCTTTATTACGAGTATAAAAAGTGACAATTCATATACAAATAAAAATAATGATCATATTTGCATCTATTATTGGTTACCTGTGAGTTATTGCAATGACAGAGCTAAAATAAAGTACAGAATTTTAAAATAAATGATACATGTACTTTGGCATATTTTTTGTTCTTTTATCAAAAGTTTGAATAAAAAGCTCTCTTCTCTCGCTCTTTGGACAAAATAGCATAAATTCCATAAATCAAACAATTTTATAAAATGTTATCATCAGAAAGTATTTAAAAAATAAATGCTTTTGTAAAAGGGTTCTCACCCAAAATGTCCGTGGTATTATAGGTAGATAATCATTCTGAGAAAGGGACTGGAAAATTAAGTAGAGAATGAAAAATAATATATATAAATGCACACAAGTCAATATCACTCACAATCTGATGAAGTCAACTTGGTTGACCATTTATAAAAATAGACACTGTCTCAGAGACTCTGGGGAATGTTAGGGATGTAAGGACTTACGTCAAACAGTAAAAATATTGCCTTAACAATTTCCTGGGACTTAAAGTGATATATTGGAGACAAAACATGGATCTTATGTACTACACACACACTTCACACTCAGAAGGCATTTTCTACAACAATAAAAAGTCTGCACCAACAGAAATATAAACATAAAATATAATAATAATAATGATAAACACTCTGTACAACCTTGATTCAATCATACATTGAATGTATTTACAAATTCATATCATTATTCAAAAACTCTGCAGTTGCATATTTTAAAATTGCTGCAATAAATAAGGGAATGTTAGGAGGTAAAATATCACACATGTACATACAATCACAGATGTACACACAATCACACATATTCCTCACAGTCTGCTGCTACCTCATCTTCCGGACATTCATTCGTCTCACCGTCAGGCAGTGAAGCAATGTCTTTGAACACACCAACAAGTTTTTCGTAGCTGGGACCCCAGTTCATGAGGTAATCCCAGGCAAAGTGACCGTTGAGTAACTTTTGGTCATGATGAGGACCCTCTTCTGATGACCCCACCGTGCTGGCGAAGGAACCTCCATTTGAATCGAGGCCATCGGACTGGGAAGTCCTGTTTTGATGACTGGAATCCTCGTGTTCATTTTCTGCTTCCGACACCTTTGAAAATATCATTGCATTTGGGTCAAATTCATTTTTAGTCTTCTCATTTTCATACTCAAACTCTGAGCAAGTGAATGAGTCATTAGCACTATCCTCGGAGCTGGACTCGGGAGGAACCAGCTCCACGTCACTGTTTATAGTGCTCATTCGTATATGAGCCATATGACGACCCTCTTCTGAAGACGACACGGCCTCCAACAAACTGACAGGGCTGGGTCGTCGCGGACGGGCATTCAGTTTCTCTATCTCCTCCACTGTCAGGCCTTTAACTTGACGAGAATTAGAATTATGGTACTTGTGCCTACTGGACTTTGCATGTCCATTTGGTATCACTGTTCTAGGAACGGATGAACTTGTGGAACTTTTACTATGATGACTGGCAAGACTGCGGTCTGATTCTGTTCTACTGTGATGAATGTTTGAAACAGGTGTTCCTCGTAAATTAGAATGAGTCAATGGACTGGCCCGGACTTGCGGGCTTTGTCGTGAGAGTTGATTGATGGGACTATTGCGCATTGCTACATTAGCAGGACTACTCCTAGCAGAATGACTAGCAATCTGTGGCACTTCTAAGTGATTAGCAGGACTACTTCGTAGTCGTCCTGATGTTTGAAGTTTGAGTGCCCCTGGTCCCGGACTTTCGCGGGACTTGAATCCACCAGATGGACTTTCTCTGTGACGTTTGTGGGGACGCTCTCGGGAGCGATCGGGATAGTAACCAGATCGGAAACCTCTGTAGTGTGTGTGAACGTCTGTATCTGATGGTGCTATACTGCTGGCATTGTCAAGGTCATAATGTTCTGGCATGTCAGTGAGCTGGTTCATGTTTACATCTCCATTGTCAATAATTACGGTGCCATCATCTATTTCATATGGTCTTCGTTGAGTTGGATCAGAGTTGATTAGATCAGGCCTGTGTAGTCCATTTGGAGTATAGGGTGTATTGAGGTTATTTTGTCTGTTAAAATCTTGCTCTCCATAACCAGAATCCTGATAACTGGGTGGGCTGTTATTATAACTTTTGTTCACATGACCATTTTCATTTGCTCTGGTTTGATTTTTGGGATCTTTTTTCTGACGGCGCATACGGAATAACACAAACACAATTGCGATAACGATTAACAGAACTCCAAAGAAAACAATCACCACAATGATGCCAATGCTGAGACTGTCACTTGGTTCACTCACTTGAGCACACACACGAGTTTCCAAATTGACAGAACAATCTCCTCCTCCACATGGATTTCCTGCACACAGAGCTGAGCATCCCGACTCGACACTCTCGGTGGGTGTAATGATGAAGCGCTCTGTAGAGCCATTAAGCGGAACTGAAGATCCATCCATTTGAAATACAGAGATGCAACCTGAGAAAGCTACAATATAGAAAAAAAATTCATTTATATATTTATCTTTTTTACATGTATTACCGCATAATTGAAATTCAATTCCTAATTTTCCTTTTTTCATTTATTTGACTTAATGTCATTACTTGAAATATTCTGACCTTTGAACTCTTTGTTGTCCACATTGATGGTTGACTCACTGGAACCCATCACCATTTTGGTGATATTAACATCTGAGAACTTAGCTACACCATTCAGATTCTGTGTGTCTTCCTTCTCATCCAACCTCAATGTTACTTGGTCTCCTGTAACAGGAAAATTATATACTATCTTGTATAGAAATTAAAGAAGGGTGTATCGGAAAATTAATCATGCAAAATAAAACTCCAGAACAAATTCGGGACATTTGATAGTTAATATATGAAAAAGTCTTACCACTTATTGAGACAGTAGCATTGTGCCAGTCTCCATTGTGTACACTTCCATCACTGAGAACAACTGATCTGGACCCAAATGTGTACACCAACTTCCCAGAATCCACCTGTAACAAGTTTTAGTAATTAACATACAATTTATTCTCAACAATCTTTCCAAAGAAAACACTTGTTATGTTGAATACTTCATCTAACTATGCCAGTAAAACATACCCAAAGGACTCCCTGGTCATTAGAAGTATTAAGAATTAGCAGAGGTTCTGGATAACCAGTGGTACGATATCTAACCATCACTGATGATGTGTCAAGAGCCCGGCGCCTCCTTGAATTTGATTGGTTAATTATCTGGTCTCTTCTGAAGGACTCCTTTTGAACAAAAGTTATACGAGAGTTGGCTCCAAATCCTAATGGCCCAGGTGCTGCATTGAAAATAAATGAATTTAATATCATTCTCATCATCATTGAAAATAAATGAATTTAATATCATTCTCAAAATACAAGTGAAGAAAATAAACATTAGTACAGTTAATTTTTTTCTGTTCACAGATCACCTGCAAAAAATATTTTTTTCCAAAAAACACTGCATTTACATCCATCCTTTATGATGGAAAATGGTTTGAATTATTGAAAAGACATTTATCATGTAGGACATTACAAATTTACAACTACCATTATCATCATTCCATATTTTATTTTATTCAAAAAGAAATATTTTCTAAATATTTTACCTATTTCACAGTGGGCCCCTGCATAACCTTTGACACAGCGACAGGAGAACCCCTCCCACTCCTCCACACATTGTCCCCCATTCTTACAGCTGTCCGCTCGGCAGTTACCGCTCGCGGAGTTACGTGGACACTTGTTCAGGATGTTCTTCTGACTGTTCGGGGTCGGAGGTTGGGTGAGGTGGTCTACATTGTTAATTTTGAATTCTCTGATACACCCAACGAAATCATGAGAACTGATTTGTCCTGGGCGACTCTGGATGGTTTCAATGTCTCGGAGGCCACCTATGTACATTGGGTGTCCATCTAAGTCCAGATAGTAACTGAAAAGGAAAAAATATATTGGTATTAAAACTCAAGAGAGTTCAGTGTTCAAAGTTCAGTATGGACAACAACCTTTAATGAGCTTAGAGTCTATTTAGGAAATGGAAGAATTGTACAGAAATTAAAAAATTATTTATTCATTAAAGGGCATTTTACAAGATTGAGTAACACAGAGGTGTCAATTGAGTTACTGGGGATCAAAGGGTGTGATTCAGAACCAAATTAAAGTTCATTTCTTTAGGATATCCTTACACACCCGAATCTTCACTTAGTTTTGGAGGAGATAAAAGTCAGACCAAAGTGTTTTAGTGAAGTGTTGAAGACACCCTATTTACATATACTATCACTTAAAAGTAAGCAAAGATTGATTGATAAAAGATTGTATCGGGTTGTACAGTAATGGTTTGATCTGGTAATTGACAGTGGTTGTGTTTGTAAATATGAGGAATTAAATGCTTAGGAAACATAAAACTGCCATACATCTGTATTGATTTCAGTGTAACGGCCATAGATCACGTAAACTTTACCTCAATCCACCCCATGGCACTATAAACCACACGGATGTGGGTAACTCTATCTACCATGTAACAGGGTAGACTTTTACATGGGTGAAAAACCACCCCAAGAAGTTCAACACCATTTTTCTGGTGTTCCGACTTATTGATTATTGATTGTTTTTCCTTCTTGTGTACAGATGGTTTATTAATTAAAAGCCTATTTTTCTGCATTTAGACAGGAACAAAGAAACATTTAAACCTTTACATATAATCAATAACTTTATCTTTTTTGATTTGATTTTTGACAGAATTAATTGTTAAGATGGACTCCTACACTAATACAATTTGGTGGGTTTTATATACAAAATCCAGCAGGGAGGGTTTTATTTGGCCAAGGCAATGCAAAATTCGATCAAGTTACACATTTAAAAAGGAATGTCTAAATGCAACACAATGGCTGCCTAAATGTTCCACACTACAGCAGAGCTGCGGTGTAATCTACACATCAATGAATAATAAACACAGCACGTACCCCAATCTACCCGATACTAACATTGAATTTTATAAATAAATGGCAATGATAAGCTTACACAGATGAATGCCTTTACTTAAATCAGACAGGCATGACAGTTTCAGTAAATTTAATCTTAATAGGACTCAAAGTATCAAACCACGTAATCTGAATATAAAAAATGTCTGCAAATACCTCCTTAATAAGGAATTCTGAGGATACTTCAATCATGACTGTTGTCAAACACAAAGAAATAACCACCTTGATGGAGTCAGAACTTTGTCAACCAGAGATAAATCCGACTTAACCCCAGGTTATCAACAACATACAATTCTATTTCAGATTTTCTCAATGAAATTTGCTGATTAATAGAAAGAATAACTGTGTATATCATGTATATGTAGATACAAAGTAAACATGTGAGACTTTACTGGGACATACTTTGTTTGGCTGCCTTTACTGTAACAGGAGGTATCCCCGGTCTGACAAGTGACACATTCTGAGCTGGTACCGGGGCAGTGGGTCACCCTCATCTCAGCATCCTACAACGAAACCCACAAGGTCAACCAAACATAAAGGACAAGACGATTGTGTAATACTTAAGCTTATCTTGATGTTCCAGATTCTTAGATGTCTATTAATAAAAATCACACTTTTCCTATTCATAAATCTTCTATGTAAAATTTTAACTGCACATTAATCCGAATCATTTAGTAACTCTGTAAAGGTTGTCTTCAAGTTTCAGTCATTAAAGATGTCTTACACCTTTAAATTACTAAATTCTGACATAAAATCATTGTTAATGCTAGCTTCCTTTTACATTCTACCAGACAGTGACAAGCACTGGCCATAAATATCTTACCATTACTGCATCATTGTTAAAATTAATTCTGTAGGTATCATGCAATCCTTAAAGAACACCAAAGAAATATAAACCTACCTTCAGCTGCCTGCGGACTTGAACCCTGAACCACTCCCCCGTGGTTACATCCTTTGGTACTGTAAGAACTGTAGCTTTGGTGTCGCCGAAATTGAATGAAAACCTCACATTTCTATTAAAAATCTCCAGAGCTATGAATTTTCCAGTATTGCTAGGGTTATACAGTAGAAGACCTTTTGATTTGATGGTTGAAAAGGTCACATCAAGGTCAATGTCTTTCTGGTTTTGGTCAATAGAGTTGAACTCCATATATGACAGCTCTGAGAACCCTTTTGATGTGTACTCACACTGGTTACCCCAATACTCAAATGGACACTGGCAAAGGAATCCATTCAACTCATTCTTACACTGACCGTCATTCTGGCAGGGGAAGGAGGCACAGTGGTTGGAGCCTGTTTCGCAGTGCTTGCCAGTGAACCCATCTGGACAGAGACAAGTATAGGACCCCTGTGTGTCCTCACATGTGGCTTCGTTCTGACATGGATCGGTCAAGCATTCATTTTTATTCTGGTCACAGTACTGTCCTGTCCATCCATCCTCACACTGGCAGACTCCATTTTGACAAAATCCACCATTACTACAGAAGCCCCCTCCACAGGGCTGTACGGGGACCTCGCAGTGTCTGCCTGTATACTGAGAGGGACAGATGCAGTAGAAATCTGGCACCATGACTGGAGAGGACAGAACGAACGCTGGGGAGTCCACTGTGTTCATTCCAGATCTAACAAGAATTCTATTCAAACAAGTCCCAGAGTTACATGAGGAGGATTCACAAACAGAGTAACCAATTCTAATTCTATTTTCTGGATTTACCACATTTTGAAAAATGGCCCTTGCAATGTCTTGTTTGTTGGAGCTCAGCTTTTGTTTCAGAAAGTCATAAACAACCACTTTTCCTGAGGCCTCTGCCACACTGACGTAAACTAAAGTTCCTGTATCTTTGGTGTCCACATTTAATACTGTTACTCTGTGATCACTGCTGTACAGCTGGACAATAGCACTTTGTAAACCATTTAACTTATCTTTCACAAACGTAGATTTTTCCATTCCATCAACATAAATTATGACAACGTTATCCAAAGTCACATTATCGAAATAGAGCAGTGTTGATATGACTCTGTATGATACCATGATATTTCCATCAGACCCTTGAACATTTAAGGTTCGAGTCGGTGGTGTATGAAAGTTCCTTAGAGTTAAGTTGCATCCTGATCCTTGGGTAATTGTGTAAAACTCATCTGTCACAGTGCATGTGTAAGTACCAATGGTGTCAGCATCCAATGGTCGAACATCTGCCACAGGAGAAGTGGGAAGAGTGGTCTCAAAAACACCGACCTGGACACTCATATTTCTGGCCTGTGGCGGTGAATCATTCTCATCCTGGACTATGACCTTGAATGTAAAGGTCGCAGACTGAGTGGGTGTTCCCACATCCCTGGCGACCATTATGACATCATACTGACTCCCCTGTAGGGCCTCCCTGTCTAGGGTCTGTTTAGTGGACACCTGTCCCTCTGAGGAGACACTGAAGAAGTTGTAATGGCTACCAGGAGACATGATGTAGGTGTATGGGCCTTGGTTTCCAGGTTGTCCTGCGAGATCTATGTCCCGATCAGACGTGTAGTCAGCTACGTTGATCACGCTGGTTCCTGCAGGCAGGTTCTCCCTGACATATGCTGTTAGGTTAGAGGGAGACAAGTACGGAGGATTATCATTCTCATCCAGCAATGTAATTCTCACTGTTGCTGATCCTGAGAATAATGAGAAAATTCATTTATTCATTTGACAATCTTTGAATCAGAAAAGAAACCAAGAAAAATTAAAAAGACAAAAAAAAATTTAATACGGCACAAAAAGGGATACCAGGTAATAAAATTACTGACCTGTAGCGGGGGGTGTTCCTCTGTCTACAGCCCCCACCACCAGGGAGTGTGTGGGTGTGGTCTCCCTGTCTAAGCTCCCTCTCCCCGTGGTGTGGATACGGCCACTGGTGGCATCAATGGAGAATTCCCCAGCCTCATTTCCACTGAGAATTCTGTAACTGAACAGTCTGTCCTCTGGCAAGTTGTCCCGGTCTATGGCTGTTACAGTAGTGACACTCACTCCCCCTGCTGAGTTCTCTGCTACGCTGGCTAGATAGAGAGTTTGTGTAAACACAGGTGCATCATTGGCATCTTCCACAGAAATAGTCACGGTACAGGTATCTGTGTCATTTCCCTTTACACTCTCCCAGTTCTTGGCCAAGACATTCAGAACGACATGTGGGGAACTCTCATAGTCCGGTTTACCAGACACATATATACCCCCTGTTTTATAATTGACACTGAATCCCTTAACATTACTGGATCCAATCAGATAGTAATACACAATTCCATCAATTCCCTTGTCACGGTCAGTGGCTCTCACACTGCCAATAACACTGCCATTGGCAGCTGATTCTTTGGTAGAAAAGGCATAAGTCTTCTGCTCAAATTCTGGATAGAATTCATTCACACTGGTCACATGTACAGTTACTATGGTAGAACTTCTCATCATGTCATCATTTGGATTACGAGCAATAACGACCATTGAATATTTGGTTTGAGTTTCATAATCTAAATTTCCTTTGGTCATAAGTACTCCAGTTTGTTTGTCAATTTTAAACAGTGTAAGAGCTAGCTGATCACTTCCAGATTCACTAATGTAGTACTCAATTTTGGCGTTCTCCCCTTTATCCCTATCGTGGGCCTGAACTTTAATGATGCTCGTGTCTGAGCGCGAGTTCTCTGGAACGTAACCATCAAAATGAGTCTGTGGGAACAATGGAGGATTGTCATTGACATCATTCAACTGCACAGTTAGAATGGCTGTTGCTTCACGATAATGCAGTCCAGAGTCCCGGGCTGATATATTTAATAAATGAATATCTGAAGTTTCATAATCTAGAGCCTGAGCAACAGAAATGACTCCATTCTCAGAGTTGATCTGAAAAAGTCCCTCTGAATTTCCATCCATGATGTAATACGAGACTTTTCCATTGGGACCTGGACCATCTCGATCTGTGGCCGTCACCTGTGCAACACTCTGTCCAATCGGGGCATCTTCACGAATACTGTAGGAGAAGCCTGTCATACTAAACACAGGGGTATAGCTGTTGTCTGCAGTTATTGAGAGCTGAACTTGCACTGTGGTGGATTTGGGGGGCAAGCCCTTGTCTTCTGCTCTAATGTCGATAGTGAAATCCTGGTTCCTTCTTCCATTTAGGAGCTGAGCCACGGTGATCAAACCTGAAATGATTCATTCATAAAATTTGAATAAACACTGTACCAGTATCCTAATTGATCTTCAAATCAAAGTACTCAGAAGTACAGAGAGCCGGGCTCATTTACAGAGTAGAATGGATTTCTTACATGAATCACGTTTATATTCTGATGAAAAAATTATTTTAAAACTATCAATATAAATGGTAAGACACTGACAGCGAGTTTTTCAATCCTAATACCACGGTCCGATTTTGTCAGAATCAGAATTAATCTGGTACCGCAGCTGAATGTAAAAAAAACAGGTCAGTCTGGTTCCCTCTCCTGCTTTACCTCGTATGTGTAGAGAACTACGGTAACACTGATTATCAAAAATCCTTACGCTAATGAACTATGTTCTTTGACTTATGAAGTTTTCAAAGTCATTACTACTAATGCTTATTTTATATAGATAAAACTTCGTTTTATTTTTGTTGCTTTATTTAGCATTTGTATTATCTCAAAAGCGGTTGAGAGTAAGAACTATATTTTTGCACGTAACTTTAAAATGGCGACTATGGGGTCAACATCCTGCCTTGAACAGGATCACATAAGCCGGCAATTGCTCTTTGAGCAATAAGCCCGGCTAAAAACAATGAGAACATCAAAACTGATTTCAGTTAAATTATCTACCTGTGGTTTTGTTGACAAAGAAGTAGCTGGATCCATTTCCACTCTCAATAAAATATTCCACTTCAGCGTTCTGACCAAAGTCCTGTAAATCCCTCGCCACCACAGTCAGTATTCTCTCTCCAACAGTGGAACTCTCAGGCACAGCAGAGAAGTACAGGTTTTGTTCAAAACTGGGAGCATGGTCATTGGCATCAATGATCTCTATGGTTATTATGGCTTCTGAGGACTTTGCTGGGGTGCCTAAGTCTGTAGCAATGACCACCAGCTCCCTCTGGTTCAGAGCGTTAGAGAAGCTCTTATGGTAGATGTAGGTCAGTTCCTCTTTAGAGGTGATTACTCCAGTTTTGTCATCTATTGCAAACTCTGAGGAAGGTAGTTTGAAGGAGAAGTAGAACTGATTATTGGGACTGGACACATCTTTGTCCTCTGCTGTTATTGTACCAACTGTTGAACCTATTGGCTGAAGCTCCAAGAAATTGAAGGTAACTGGAGGCATGATCTGAGGTGCATTGTCATTGACGTCTGTGACAAACACATGTAAATATCCTCGGGTGGAGAAGGATCCATCTTCTGCTATCAGTGGAATGGTTATTCTCTGGCTGGACACGGTTTCACGGTCAATCTGAGACTTCAGTGTAATGTTTCCAGAGTCAGCGTCGATGCTGAACATGGCAGCCTCGCTGGCGGTGGGGTCTATGCGGTAGTGTGCCTTGGCGTTGACCCCAATGTCCCTGTCCGTGGAGGTGACCTGAATGACGAAGCTGTTGACAGGAAGATCCTCCGGAATGTTCACAGAGAAGATGGTGGTGAACTTTGGAGAATTGTCATTGACGTCAATCAGTGTTACTCTCACTGTGGTGGTACCAGTCTTGGGTGGTGATCCCTGCAACAGAAAGTATACCATACATCAAAGACTTTTAACTTCAAGAATTTCTTAATATCTGGCGAAAATCTTTTAACCAAGAATTGTGCTTCATGTTCTTTAACATCAAAATACAGCTTACTCCACTTAAATTGAACTCGCTTATTTTGAAATTCCGCTTATTTTGAAATAAAAATAAATCCCCAGTTTTTTACTCTTATATTCTTTGCATTAAAATAACGGTTATATTGAAATCGGCTATATTGAAATTTCGCTTATATTGAAGCCACTTATCGGTCCCCACAGGTGATAATGAGTTGTTTTCATAACGGTTATATTGAAGTCTCCCTGGCGGCTGTCGTTACGGTTGGTGACAGAAATTATACCTGACTGACCAGTTGATATAAAAAGGTGTGAATAATTAAGTTTTCACCTTATGTGTTTTTATACTGCATGCTCTTACGAAAAAAAAATTATTCACTGCTAAATTGTTTGTTTCCATGTATATAATACGGAAGTACTTAGGCTAAAGGCAATATAGTTAGTAACCCCAGCAGATCTAGAAAAAACATAACTTTCAAATAAAATACGTACTGTTAATGGCTGATGATAAACCTAAATTCGAAATAGCTAAGAGATCAACCCGAGTACACTTAAGATGAAAAACATGCAGCGTTCAGCCGTACTCAACAGTTTGACATCGGTGATTTCTCTCCAAAATGTTAATAAATGCGATAGGGGAATAATAATGAAGTTGAAGATTGTCTTATCGATAAAAAAGAAAAAAACAATTTTATTTAAACTTTCAAGAACTAAGTAATATTCCATGCAATCTGTACACTGTTATAGTTAAACGATGACAAAATTAATTTGTTCGGGTTTGTTCTTTATTTTAAGATCGGGATTGAACTTTTAATTAAAAAAATGGAGGCCTCACGATTTCGCGTATATTGAATTACGGATATATTGAAATAATTTGCATGGTTCCCTGCATTTCAATATATCCAGAGTAGGCTGTACTTGACTGAATAGTGTATAGAATTTTTAAGAGTGAATTTTTAAAAATTTTTGCTTACCATATCTCTCGCCTCTACAATAAGGTTATATGAATCTTGAGTCTCTCTGTCTAAAACGACTTTGGTTTTAATTTCTCCAGAAGAAGAAATCACTTCAAAAGTGTCCTGAACATTGTCCAAACTTCCTCCAGCTAGAACATACACTATTCTTCCATTGTCACCACTGTCTGCATCAGATGCACTCACAGTAAAGACACTCGTGCCTACAGAAACATCCTCTCTAATTGAGGTGATGTAGACACCCTCCTGGAATCTTGGGACATTATCATTCTGGTCAGAAACAGTAATAACAATTTCTTTATAAGCAGAGAGTAACAGATTAGATCCTTCTGTTGCCTGGATCCACAGATGGAAATCAGGTGTCATTTCGTAATCCACATCTCCAGCGACCCGAATAGTTCCAAGAGACTCGTCAATATGAAAAGTGTTGCCGACGTTCCCTCCGGCGATGCTGTACTTGATGACCCCACTGCCAGACGCAGGCCTGGCCCTGACGGTGGCGACCACCTGATCCAGTGGTGAGCCCTCTGGTAGTTGTGGGTTACTGATGGCATCAAACTGTGGAATACTGGAGGTACCGACTGAGGAAACCTCCACCTGAAGAGTGGTGGTGGATGTCTTCTGGGGAGTACCCTACAAAGAAAAGTCAATGTAGTGAATATATTCTAGAGTGACTCTACAATGTGTACCTATCTCTCTTCAATGTTGCAAATAAATTTAAAACTGAAAACTCCCTTTAAGCCTCACTCACCTGGTCTCTGGCCTCTATGGTGCAGGTGAACTTGTTCTCGGCCCCAGAAATGAAATTGGCTGTAGTGATGACCCCTCTCTGACTGTCCAGGTTAAATTTATTACAGTTTTGTGGTCCCAGCAGACGGTATGTGACTCTTCCATTCAGTCCCGCGTCCCTGTCTACTGCTGTAACCCCCACCACAAACTGACCTGTAAAGATTTATGACATGACAAGTGTGCATTTTAAAAATGCTTTTCACAAGAAAAATTATATTTGCACTAAAATAACAAATTAACGTTGAAGAGGATATTTGACATTCATTAGAATACTTCTATTTTATCATCTTTCAGTTCTTTTTTATATATATGTACTTTAACATTATATCTTTATTGTGCAGTATGCATTTAATGGGGAGATAGGTAGATTGCTATCATCATGGTTAATATTGCTGCATTATTTTATGAGATATTTTTTCGAACTTTTGATCATACCTGAAGAAGTTGGATTATTCAGGGTTCGATTGTAGGTTTGTTTCTCAAACAAAGGGACATTATCATTAATATCATCAACATAAACAGTGATGTTAGCATTAGAAGATCGGGCAATGTTCCCATGATCCTTTGCTACCACTGTTAAATGGTACAGGGCTGTATCTTCTCGATCCAGAGGTTTCTGTGAAGTCAGAACACCGTTGGTCATATTGATGATAAATCTACCATCAACGTCATCCACCAGGCTGTAGCTGTAATAAGACAACACGCGCATTAGGAGGAGATTTAAATACAGAGTTTCCATTTGTCCTAAAATGACACAAGTGACGTACAAGAATTGTACCCTCTACTCAAAATTCTCAAATCAAATATATTCTGCTACGCTCTGATACATTCCAAATTAACGGCTACCAGTGAAAATACTGTGACTATAATAAGCACCTTCACGTAAACTTGCAAACAAACAATTCAGATGCATTAAATGAAATTTATCTTGCTCTTAAATTTCTGTTCAATAAAATCAATTAGGTCTCTACTAGTCAATTTCTATTCATATGTTCAGAATGCTAAATCATGATTGTGTACATAGCCCACAAAATGTACAAAGTGATGATTCCTTCATGTGACAGATTAAATTGAAGAACTGTCAAATATATACTCAGGCTGGTATATCTTGAGGACAGTTTTGCACAGGTCAACCTCTTAAAGTCATATATTTGTTAAAAATTTTCTAATCATGAATAAATATAATTTTTTTTTTCATTTTGTTTCATATCTTTTTAATCAAATAATTGATCTACTCTAAATATTTATGTCATTTTATTAAATTACCAAAAAATAAATCAATTTTAATTGTCTGAATTCATATTGCAAAAATATTTCCTAAAGAGTCAAACAAACATTTTTTTAAAAATCAAAGCATCGATTGAAATGCTTTGTATACTATAGATCTGGGGAAAGATGAATATTTTGTTATGGTAAGAGTGGATGGTAGAAAAAAAATGGATGTTTAGTTCTCCAAACACAGCCCTGACAGTGCATGAAGACAAGAGGCGAGGGTCTCCCCATTCCCACCCACTTCACACGTCTTAACATGACATCCACTCCACTGTAAGACGCTGTGCTCCCCAATCAAGGTCTCGCGGAAACCAGGCAAGGGAACTTCTTTGTTTTAGTACTTAAAACTCTCCTAGCACTTCAATCAAACATTAATCCAGGTCTTACATAAAACTGCCTGCAGTATTTGCTTGCAATTGCATTCAATGCCTTTGTAAATAAAGTATATTAAATGCAATTTGATTGCATACTATTGAACATCATTGTATTTCTTTCTGCCAAGTCATTCAATAAACTCTCCCACATATTATGTTTGCACTGCAAAAAACGGAACTACATTAAAATTGGTGTTCCCTTAAAATGCTGCCTGTCATAACCAAACATATATTAATAAATAAGCATGTTTTTATAATTTTTTGTCTTGTAAATAAATTCCTATGCTGTGTCCTGCCAATGAAATGGCTCTTGGTGGTTAGAACCTGACGTAAGACCTCAAAGTGACTCCCTTCCATGGACTTTGTGAACTTTGATTACATTGTTTCAATCAATGCACTATAAGGAATTTCATGTTCGGAATCCTCATTCATTCAAAAATCTGTAAATTTAGCCAGCCAATGATAATGCTTCCTGATATTTTTGTATGTACTGGTGTCCTTTATATAGTACACAGGTCATTCACAGTTGATACATTTAGTTGGACCATTTACAAGGACAGCATTAGTATCCAAGTAATCAGTAGTCACAGGGATTCAAACCACCGACTTTTAACCATTTTGACCACTGTAGCACACTTTACAGTCCCCTCTATTATGTGTTTACCTGATCTGAGCGTTGGCGCCGCTGTCATCGTCCGTGGCGGTGACGGTCAGTATGTCCGCTGGACTGTCCTGATTCTCCTGGACGTGACCTACATATGCAGAGCTCCTGTCAAACAGCGGCGTATTATCGTTCACATCCTCTACCTCGACATGTATCGTCCCCGTTCCTGTCAAACGGTTTATTCCTGCAAAATACAGAATTATTTTGTACATTAGTAAATAGTAGTTTTAGAAGTTTGATTTTTCTTCTACACATATTTTAGGAAAAAGGAAATATCTTCCAAGACTTTTGTCACTGGGCACTAAATATATTGCTGACAAAAGCTGAACTTTTTTTCTTCTCTGACATTTCACTGATCACTTTAATGTTGCCAATGTACTAAGTGCATGATTATATTTTATGTGAATTATGAAATAAATAAATATTTTGTACTTTTGAAACATCATTTAACCAATAAAAGTAAATCTTAATAAATAATGATTATTTGGTCTTTGAAGGGTGAAGAAGACCATTTGTCACACAAAGTGGGTAGGTCATATCATGGACAAACACTAAAAGACAAATAGCCTGATAAAAAGTCATATATCTATGTTTTATTTCATTTTCTGTCATTTTTGTTGAAAATACATCATGAACATAACCACATTATCTTAAATCTGATTCACTTCAGTTGAGCTGTTTTCACCCCAAAGATCAAATGCCGACCTGAACAGCCCTATTTGTGAAGGCCAGGTATCAAGTGCTGTCTCCATGAATCAAAATAGGGAAAAGAGAGACCCACGGAAACAAAGCCGAAAAAAGACGTTGAAGCCAATTTATTGAAAGACAGAGATTCCAATTTCTCCCTTATGTTCTATAAGAAAAAGTATTATTCTCCCCTAATGTACAAAACAGTTACCATAGCTGAAGTTTTAACAATGACACAATCAGCTAATCTTCTTTTACACAATGATGAATGGCACCTACTTTGTGTATCAGGAGATCTAGAAATATATCTGTTGTCAGAGAGGGAGAGGGTCACTGTTGTTTTTTATCTTCCCTCTCCGTGAATCATCTCTTGTACCAGTGTGAATGGTTCTACGATTGCGACATTAAACCTCCCTTTTAAACAAACAGTTGAAAAAATATTTGGACAAATACCTTTATGAATTTGAGATAAATGTACCCATGTATGAGTCTTATCAAAGAAAAAATGCTGGGTTATAGACATCCCTTTACACAATTTTATTAAAAGGTAATTCAAAAGAATTTATCTCTCTATAGGTAAGGAGCAGTTCAAGAAACTTTCTTTTTTGGAGGAATAAAAACATCAATGCTCAATAATACTCATAAAATATTCCCCAGTAGTTGCTAAGATATGAGTAATTTAATTTATTTCTCATAACTTGGACATATATAGTGCATGCTTTATCATCCAGAATGCAGCTTCCTAATAGAAGAGTTGACTCCATGTGCCCTTCGTTGATGGGAATTTCAATCAAGTTGTCAAGTAAGAGTGATGGGTTGGTGGCTGAATCAGGGTGCTGATGGGTAGAGCTTACAATCCGGACATACCACCCCAGCAAGTCATGCTAAATCTGATGGCCGACAAACACCAACCTAATCACTTTACCATAAATCATCAATTTCTACTGATGGTCATTTGTCACAAGAAATGATGAATGACCCCCAGATCACCAAACGAGGATGTCATCAGGTGTAGACTGACTGTTTATGTCTCACCTGTTCAGAGGGAGTCAGATGGATAGGCCTTATAACAGGTACACTTCATTTACACAGAGGTATAACCAGGGTGTGTTACAATCAACCACATACATCAATTCCACACAACTTTTGTCACCCATTCAGTTGACACAGTTAGGTGGAAAACTTCAGCATGGGAGATAAAAATCTCCACACGACTCTTTTGTTAGAAGAAAGCTGGTATACACCAAGCATTCTTTCCACCCCAAATAACAGTAAAAATCGATCTGAATTTCTTATAAATTTCAATAACAACCAATTTGGTTTTTGGCTTATCTGTTTATTGAACTGGTCCAGGACCAAACATATATCATACTCCCAGCCTGGGGGTCAAAAAAGGTTTTTTATTTAAATTGATTCGTCGCTCTATCAAGTCTATTCTTATTATCGGTTATCTCTTCCTATCTGACCTAAGGCTATGATCACCGTACCACACAAAACACCAATGTCTGCCCAAAACAAACAATTCCTACACCTAAATTGATATATCTCCATAAAAAAAACACCTTAATCTGCATTTATTTAATTCTAAATATGTTCCCGTTGAATGGATATTCTAGGCCTTATCTTTTGAAGTGACAACAATTATTTGCATACAGATGACAAAATTATTCCCTAATTTTTATAATGACAACATCGGAGATTAATATCACAAGTTCAAGAATTTAAAAATAATTTCTATGTCAATTATACCTGCACAGTCAGTGAAGGTTCACCCTTTATGACGTATATTATAAAGAAATTCTACAGAACTTCCAGATTTTAAACCTGCACCATGGCTTACTAATTATGAGAATATTTCCTGACCAATTAAAATGTGTTTCTAATACGCTATCAATTATCACGAAGTTTACTGTTAAAAATCTTCTTTTTTTTTAAAACCTGTTTCAAAATAAATCTTCTATTGTTAAGTTCAAATTGTCTATAACATTCATAATTACATAATTGTGCTCAGTTCATTCAACATTTTTTCTGCTTCTACAAAGCTATGAATTGAAAGGGGTACCAAAGAACATTAACTCTGGGAATCTGGACACCTGCAATTTAAACTTCAAAATGATGTGACATTCTGGACGACACTAATCACTCACTAGCCTTGGTAAAATAAAGAAAATGCAATTGTTTTTCTTGAAAGTGTAACAGTTGAATAAACATGGGAAAAGAAATTGAATATGGCATCATGAACTCAAATGATTACACCAGGGTAATTGCTAAAACTGAATGAAAATACTATTCTGACGTGTTCTGTTCACTATCTAAGTTAAAAAGAAAGGTAGAAGTGAAAATGAAATAAATGGACAAGGTATACTTACCAGAATCAATAGCCACCACTAGGATTTTGTACTGGGGCACCTGCTCTCGGTCCAGAGTCTGGCTACAGGTTACCTCCCCTGACGTTGAATTGATCTGGAAGATGGAGGTCACACCTTTATCTCCCTCCCGTAGGGCGTAAGTCAGCTGACTGTTAGGGGAGGAGTCCAGGTCCAGTGCAGACAGCGTAATCACAGGGACAGGGGGAGAAGACGCCATGTTCTCCCTAACAAGGGCATAAAACGGAGAATTCTGGAAAACTGGCTGAAAGTCATTCACATCATTTACATTAATGGTGACTGTGGCTACAGAATAGCGAGGATTCACACCCATATCCTCAGCCTGCACTGTCAGAGTGTACATGCTCACTCTCTCATAGTCCAGATTTTTCTGTACTCTAAGAACCCCATTACTAGGGTCCATACTGAAGTCTGCATTGTTATCTCCCCTTATGATAAAGAATCTGACCACACCATTCAAACCAGCGTCAGCATCTGTTGCAGTCACTCGGAGTAAAGTGGTGCCAATCTGAACATCCTCTTGGACTGAATGTCTGTAAGATGAGGGAATAAACACTGGAGGGTTGTCGTTTACATCCTCAACCAAGATCTGAAGTTTTTGGGTGGTGGACTGCGATTCTGTCCCCTGATCAGTGGCGGTCACCTGGAGGGTGTAGTTTTGGATGAGTTCCCTATTTAGTGGACTCTGTAAAGTTATTCCCCCAGTGGAGGGAGAAATTTGGAAGACAGGATGGGACACCAGACTGTACATCACATTGGCATTAGCCCCCTCATCAATGTCCACCGCTCTCACAGTGTAAACAACAGACCCCACGGTGGCATTCTCCTTTACCCAGATCTGGGGTGGTGTCATAAACTCTGGAGCGTTATCATTGACATCTCTCACAGTAATGATCACCTGAAACACAATCACAAGTTTTACTAGGAATATCAAAAACAGAGTTCTTCTCTCTCATATATTACACATTTTTTGAGTTAAGATAAAAAATTTTTATTACTGAATCTAAGCAACATCAATTGTGGTGCAAAATATTTTATTTCATTTGTTTAATTTTTCCAATCTCTTGCCTGTATATTTTAATTAATTAAATATTTTGGGGGTTTTTTTTGTGAAAACTGACCTCGGCTGTTGTACTCTTCCTTGAACTTGGTGGCTCAGCCTGATCAGTTGCTATGACCACGAGAGTGTACTGAGATTGAGTCTCTCGGTCCAGGCTTTGGACAGTGTATATGGTTCCATTCTCTGTCCCGATGCTGAAGTCCGAGGATGAATTTCCCTCCAGCAGGGTGTACTCTAGCTTACTGTTAATCCCTACAAGATTTATTTTTTCTTTGAATAAATAAATGCAGATGTAAAAGAAAATATTTTGTTGTAAGTAAATAAACTCAATATTATCAGCAATGTTGATTTATATTATATAAAATATATGTTTAATTTAAGAAATGACAGTGCAAATTTGATTTGGATATATCTCAAAATAAAGTGAACATGAAGGCTCCCTCAATATCACTAGGCACTAATCAGATTATCAGTGTTTCTGTATACTTATATGTTGTGAATTAACTGCTGCTCAAAAGTGTGAAACAGCAGTTACAAGTGTTATGTTTCCTTCTGTAAATGTTTACCTACAAAGAGGCTGTCGGTGTACACAGAACCAACCTCCCCAAGATTGATGTGTTGGCTTGTTATGCAAGATTTACATTCTATACAGGCAACAAAAAAATCAAACTTCATAGGAACAGATCCTCAACAATGCAAGTTAATTGTGTGCATCTTAAGGCTTGATATGGTACATTTACCATATATATTTTTTTCTATCCCATTAAAATCCCCCCTAGAGTTAATAGTATGTATATAGGTGTATAGATGTGCTACTGTTTCGTGTTTTCTGGATGTTTGCTCTTTTTGTACCTTCACACAGAAGATTTGTTTTTTAACAGTTGACATTGGTTTTCCTGCCAACACCACCCATTACCTCCAAATAATTGAGAAATTATACCCCATCCCTGTCATTGGCACTCACGTTTAATGCCAAAAAAGAACACCTTTAGGAAAGGCAGCATTAGACCCAGTTTTCACACTGGTATTCAAATCTCTCACCAGCCATTGTTGTTAAGCTTTCAAAGCAGTGCACAAAGTCTTGGGTCTTTCTTTTCATTACATTTAAATTCATTTATCGAGTTTTAGTGAATAGAGGGATCATTTCAAAACACAACAAAGGCATTTTATAATGCATGATTAACACTGCATATTATTCAGTTCTTTCAGGCATTTCCTCAGTCTGTAGACACTGTATAGTTTAAGTTTGCATTGCATCGTCATCATTCATGCCAATATTCAATGCGAATGTATATGTTAATCTCTGAAAATCTTAAGGGAAACGCGACACCTTCCACGGGTTTCACTTTAATGTTTTAAGTGTGTTTGGTAACAATTCTTCAAAATGGTGTTAGATCATAAAAGAGAACATTTCTAAAAACAAAAACCATTTATCTCGAAACTTTATGAGCTTGAGGTGCGCTTTCTTTTGTTCTTTGGAATGCAGGTAAAACTTTTGACGCTGGTCCTACACAAAAACCAGTGACAGGGAGTAAAGCTGGGACAGTGCGAGTCATTTGATCACTAGAAGCTTAATCTAAGGCACTCATCACTATTTATCAACCTGATTCATTGCTTTTTTTCTTTCTGTCTTTTTGTTTTGCTTGTTGGTAATGACTGACATTTTTCAAACACTCAGCAGACTTTTTAACTGCACACCATTTACTACAAAGCCTTTGTGATCATTTTCATTTGTAGAATAACAAACCATCTTTTAATGATTTTGAAATGATAATTTTGATAAAATGCCTCCACTTTTTAATGTTCAAGTTCCTCTGAGTCTATGTTTGTAGACATTAGTCAATAAGATCAGTAGACATTGTTACACTAGAGACTAACCTGAGTCAATGTCCGTGGCCTGTACTGTGAGCACACTGGTACCAATGGCAGCGTTTTCCAATACTTCTCCATTGTAAGCCTGGTGGTTGAACTGTGGTTCATTATCATTGACATCTTTGATGTTTAGGTACACTAGTACTGAAGTAGACTGACTGGGACTTCCCTTGTCAGAAGCCAGGATGGTCAGAGTATACAGATGATTCTACAATACAATAACATATACATGTATATCAACTCTCATCCAGGCTTCCTCAGCTCCATTACAAATTATACTGTTCATGACTTTCAAATTCAAAATGACTTACAAATGGAAATCTACTGATTCTATAAGAGCATAATTTCAATTTTTAAAAACTTCCTTTTATTTTTTAACCTTTAAAGTTTACACTTTTTAGGACAGATCCATAAGGAATAAATGAATATTAATGAAACAAATTCTAGTAAGTTAGATATCATAGTTCTTTAAGATACATGTGTATAATATTATGAAAGGGCCACTGAGTCACTGCATACCCTGCTAACCTGTGATTCAGGACTCAATGAATTCTAATTTAGAAGTACATTCTATATTACATCATATACCTGATAACAAAATGTCAGTTAATTATTTATGCTTGTCAGCTAATACCTATTCAATGCTTGAAAGTTTTTCATTAACCATCGAAGAATAGTAAACTTCATATGAAGGTATTAAAAAATTCATATAAAAAGTACTTTTACATGAATTCAAATATTTTTAAAAGTTGGGCGAAAAACTTTCTAATCCTTATATAAAAGAAATAATATACTGATTTATGTGGCGCTTTAAAAAAATTGTCAGCAATTGTTCAACACTGATAGAAAATGAGATGATAAATGCTGAAATATTAATTTTCGGTAAGCCTTTGAAAAAAGGCTTTCATGAATATTTAGCACTAAGAAAAGAGAACATAACTTGATACAGTCCACTGAGCTATGACGTTTATCATGCTGATCTTGTACTGGGTATAAATGCTGTTTATGTTGGAAATCAAATTATTAATGGTCGTCTTTTTAAATTTGCCTACTTCCGACTATCTCACTGTGACACTAAGGACAACGAATTTTAAAGAATATTTACTCCTGTTAAATTGCACCAGATGACCACCTGCCGATAGTGAGAGCTTTAATCAATTGTAAAAAAGAAAGAAAAGCATGTATCTACAGCGACATTACAGGCCTGCTGACTCCGGGGGCACCTGCTATTATAAAAGCCGAGACAGGAGACAGAAAATGTGTTAACACGCTAGTTCTGGGTTTATTTTCTCAGTCAGACACTTCTCTGTGTACTAGCAAACAGCATAATGCGTTGATGCTTTTTTTTCACAGAAAAGTTTGGCACCACAAAGAAAAACACTGTATGTCTTATCCATTGTAATCACACTGGATCATGTTAAACAGCATGATAGATAATACGTAATGGTTCTAGCAGCAGAACCCACCAGGATTTTTTAATGGAAAATAACAGTTTTTTTTCTAATTACTAGAGATGAATACCTGATCTTTCTTAAGTTCTTTTCACAAAACCTTGACAAAATGAATTCACTGTGAACGTTTAACAACTTTTTTATAATACCATATCACCAACACTTTGCCGCACAGCTCAATGATTTTAACGGGCAGTTTTAATGGCCAAAGATTTCCTCTTATCCCACTAAAATACCAGCAGCCATCCCTTTGATATTTTGTCCTTCAAACAATTTGCATACCATTGACCTTGGCAAAATGCAACATAACAAATAACCTTCTCTGGATGTTAAGGTTATTCATTATGAACATTTCACTAAGATAAAAGTATGTACCATCTAATAAATGTATACATTCATAATAACAGCATTCCAACTTGTGCCTTTTTTGCACCGAGAACTACAATATCTATGCAGTAAATATAAGAAATTATTACCCTCTCCCCCTATATTCTCTATTCTATAGTACAAACACTAACAGCATACCTGTTCAAAGTCCACCCTTTTGATGAGTTTGATGGTTCCCATCTGTGGGTCCAGGTGGAAGATGGACTGCCCCCAGGTGGAGACCAGACTGTACACCACCTCTCCGTTCAGTCCTTTATCCGCGTCCACTGCCTCCACCAAAGCCACGGTGGTTTCTATGGGGGTATCCTCGGGAATATCAAAAGAGTAGAAGACATCGGTGAAGACTGGGGCATTGTCGTTAGTGTCAGTGATGAGGACTTTCACCGTGGCCACAGCTGTGTTGGTGCCATCAGAGGATTCAATGGTCAGTCTGTCTGTGGAACGAACCTCTCGGTCAAGTCTTCTTGCGACAGTCAATGCTCCTATAATGGAATAGTCATACATATAATACAGAAGAAGTAATTATTGCTAGATATATTTTTTCTCAGGAATGATAAGTTTTGCCATTATTCTCAATTCCAACTACATGTACATGGATAGCTGCAGATCTGTAGCTCTCCGAAAAAAAATTATATTGACAGACTGGAGAGCTACAGTGCCACCCATTGAAAAAACTGTATATTTATTGCGCACCAAAAAATGCGCTGTTTCTCGATTTATTTCTCAATGTTTTTGAAACTGTCATCTCAAAATATTACTAACTGTGTGTTCCCAACATATGATTTCACTATTTCCACGACAAAACATATTTTATAATTGTTGTTAATAACCCTCCTGGCCTTGAAATTGAGATCATTGAAAAATTCGCCTATTTATAATGTCAGTTTGGTTTGTGAGATAATTCGGTCCAACGCGTTTCGCACAGATGTAAAGTACGAAAGTACTTGATAGAGGAGTAAGGAATCTTTTAAAATCTATCCTTTTTGCAATTGAGGTAAGAATTTGGAAGAATTAATCCAAACCCTTGCGCACATTTTCGTGCGCAATAAATATACAGTTTTTTCAATAGGTGGCACTGTAGCTCTCCGGTCTGTCAATATAATTTTTTTTCGGAGAGCTACAGATCTGCAGCTAGTACATGGAAAGATGTAATACTGTCGATTCCTTATTTTTCACGAGTACTTATTATCGCGAATGGGCTCTTAAACGGCAAATTGCGAGAATATTAATTCGCGAATGTATGGTTGATCAAGAAATTTAATATACATTTCAGCACCATAATAATAAAGGCGAGTAATTTTATTTCGCGTCTGGTGCTTCTTGCGAAATTTTTTTTTTTAATGCTTTATTTTTGCGAAATTAAACGATAATAAATTCCACGCATATATTTAGGAATTTACAGTATATATATATTTCATATATTGCCTTGATTTTTACTTGAATGTAATACACTTCAGTTGCATGACCACCTAATAAATATAACCCTGTGTACCTGTCTGACTGTTCAGGGCGTAGTTTCCATGGCTTCCTTTGACAATCTTCAGACTCTGTGTCCCAGTAGTAGAATCTGGGTCAGTGACGGTTATGCGCAGGATCTCTGACCCCACCGGTAAGTCCTCACCCACACTCTTAACAAACGAGGTGTTGGTAAACAGGGGAGGGGTGTCATTGATGTCAATGATTGTAATCACCACCTACAAAATATAAGAAGAATCAATTTCTTCATCCAATTTACCTCTAAGGAGGGTGACAAAATCATACAAAGAATTCTATAAAACATGCAGCCAATCAAATATAAAGTATGAATACTGTATCTTTTAAACATCTATTTTTCACAAATCTAATGCTTCCCAGTGTATTTTTTCCCCTAAAAAATGCATATAAGTCAGTTTACAAATTAAAGACAAACACTTTTTGACCAAAGGCAATGAGGACACACAAAAAAAACCTTATTACAAAACCTTTTTAGGTTTTTAAGCACTATCAGTCAATGATTCAAAATGCTTTTAAAGAGTTCACAGTCATATATTGAAAACATTGTATTGTATCAACTGTTATTTATCTAGTAATAATAGTTTTAATTTTATTTTATATTTGCACTTTTATTTAGATTGACAACTGTTCATCAAAAAAACTTGCATCTTCAGTATTATAAGTAATTATTTAATAATTCTATTATATAATTCATATTTCACATAAATTTTAGCCATTCCTTGTGGCCTAATTTATATAAACCAGGACCCCCTCTATACCTGCCAAGCATGTTTGGGGACTGGTTGTTTAATCCATGTAAAAACTAGGATTTAATACTTGCCAAAATTTACTTCTTGTTATATAATCAATCTGTAAAAATTTCTATACATTCTGCCAGTTGACTGGGTTCTACTCAACAAGGTGCTAGAATCTTTTTTATTTGAAAATTCTAAATCTTCTCCCATGTATTGTGACACCTCTTTTTTCAAAGGGCAGGATAGTGAAATTTCACACCGTATGCCTGAGAGCAAATTAATTCTTACAGTTTTGCCTCTGTCACAAAACTTAATGCATCTAATGATTGCCAAAGTCAAACATAAAAGGTTCTGGAAATAGCACATGTCAAAACAGGCCAAATTGATAAGTTTTGAACCCCCCAGTTTCAGACTGCTGTCTTGGTTAACTGAGGACACTTCACAGCCTTAATCTTGTTGTTTTATCAACATTCCGTCTTCTCCAACAATCACAGTCCCACAAAACACACAGAATAATGTCTATCTTATCTCCTGCTCATGTACACCAAGGGAGATAATTATCTACTTTTTCTCATAAAGGGAGATAAACATTTAGGCTAAACTGCAATTAAGACACAGTTGATCATTTTATGAGTTGTAATATGACAGTAAGATCAGTGCCGTACAATTATGATTCTGTCATGTAAACATGCTCTCCATTTCTGGTCTAATTGTGACAGTTATAATCAGGATAATCGAGAAAGTATGTATTTCAAGAAAAAAAAATACAAACTTTCGTAACCAGTATGAATCTCTTTATTTTTGACAACCACAATCAGAAAATTTTGTAAGTTATGTGATTTATTTATATTGCTGATATTTTAACTTGATAAAGTTTAGATTGTGTCCATTGATTACAAGATCAAAAAACTGGGAAATGTTTAAAAATGCAAAATATCTCATAAAAAAATACATATGTTAAAATAAAAAGTGAAAATGATTGACACTAATACAGACGTGTCTACTGTGTAACAGGTGAAAATTTGATTGTGTCCTGATAACTCGTCCATCTTCCATTACAAAAACCTCAGTATGAACCCTACATTTTATTGAAAAATAATTTAATCAAATTCCATTTTAAGCTACATTTTTGAACCTCTTTTTATTTACATATAAGAGTATATACACATGTATTTCCTCTTGCAAATGGAAGCCTTGGAAAAATGAGTGATGAGTAATACTCTCTGCTACTATTAGTTCTGGTTGATTAATCTTTAATACATTAAATATGAATACATTAATTCGTTTTCCATATCAGGAATTCTATTGTTGTCAAAATTATTTTGGGTGAAAAAAAAAATTTTTGAAAATAAATCTTGTGTGCGTGATTATATTCCTAGATCAATACACAGCACGTTAAGATAATGTTTCGAAATGATACACTTTAGATGGCAAGATAATACTGTTAAAATTTCTGATCAAAAGGGATTCACAACTGTGTTCTTTGTACAACTGTAAAAAATAGTATACATGTAATATATATGTGTACCAGCCTACAGCAAAATAATTTTTGTATTTTGTGGACAAATTTGAAACATCACATAAATTTAACTCCCCGAGTAACGAATGTCTTGGCACTATTTCCCTGTAATTATATGTAATTGTGGGCAACTTTTTTCCCCATATCATATCATTCAACTATATATGCAGTGGATGCACTTTACGAAGTAATCTGCATATTTTATTTGAAGTTTAATACAGCCCTTGGGCATGGCAGTGTGTTAGAAGTTAGAAGTTGAAAAACAACCAAACAACTATAAAAAAAAAGATTCATATTTAATTGTAACAGTAAATTATTGTTTGGACAGGTAAAAAAATCACATCAGTAATACCACAAAATATTCTCTTTCAATAAAAAGCATAATGCAGAAAAAAAACAACTTTGCGTTGTGCAAGAGCAGTTCTTGGAGAGTCTCTTGACATGGAATTAGATCTGGTTTTTATAGTTTAATTGCGCAACTTTCTCACAACTTTTCCTATCCTCTTACAGAGTAAGCTAGGTGGAAAAGGGATTAAACAAGATAAAAATGTTTTATTAATTCCATTAACAAAGGTCACCCTAATCCTGCACCAACAAAGTCAGTGTATTGTTTAGTCAGAGTTGTCGCATTATCCCTGCACAAAGCGGGACTTTGAGACGGACTTGGAGAGGACCTATTTCTGAATGACTCTTCATTTCTGCACTGCTCAGAGCTATGAGAGAGGAACAGACGAATAATCTCTCTCAGTGTGACGAGATTAGTCTCTGAAAGACCAGTGCCATGAGACCAATTAAAACCTCGTAGCTAAGAATCCCGAATAATGAAGAAATAAAAGCCTTATAAATCCACTGTATACAGACTCTTATTGATATGTCAAGCTAAATTATCCTTCAAATTTTATTTATTTTAACATTACTTCAGTTCTCATATCTAGGATGTATAGGACATTTATGTAGAAAAGACGCAAAGTTTAAAGTCAGATAGACAAGAAATTGATTTATAGCTATGATTCAGGACTCTTATATACTTTATTACAAGTTTCACCCATGTATAAAAACATCAACTTTCCTTAAAATATGAGCTCTCTAGTCCTCAATAATAACTTGGTTTTCAGCTTAAGAAGTGGTTGGCCAATTTGGATAATGGCTGTAAAAATTCCAATCTGCCTGTCTAAGCCCACCTTTCTGTTGTACAAGCCAGGGCTGGGACATATATGATCACTAATATTTTCTTTACAGATGCACACTGCAAACCATCAAGAGCTTTATTTTACAGGCAAATGACGTAACAACTTTTTCTGACTTTTAAAAAATTGAAGGATAAAAAAATCCTACCACATGCACATTGAAATATAAAAGATTTTCCAACACCATTGCAGCAAATAAATAAAACTAAAAAATAGAAATAAACTTGTACAAAAACGATGTGAACTGACAGGCTTGATGTGGAATGACTTTGTACAGGTAATTGGTTTAATTCTCAGGTTTCATCCCAGATTTTGTTGTCCTTGGTACCTGTATGTAGTGTCTGGAACAATAGAACTTTACCCCCACCTTAGTCTGGCAGGTTCCCTAGAGGGACTTGATTTTGTTACAAAGGATGTGATGAAAGGTCACCATTTTCAGAGATTAAAGTCACAAATTCTATTTTCATCTCAATTTTTATAGTAAAGAAAATTTTAAAACTGGAAATGAAATAGTTGACACCACCACCCGAAAGAAAATCCAAAGACAATTGACCAACATAAAAATTATTTTAAAAAAAATTTCAATAATAAAGTTTTATGTAAGTTATATAAGGTCCGCTTTTCTGAGTGTTTATTCAAGGTTTTTTTTTCACTTTATGTGGTATTTTTAGGTTCAACCTAGACATTCTATTGTTACTTGCTCAACAACTATCAATACTTCAAGTTCAAAACCAATACCTCTCATTCATTATCTGAAAGATAAAATGCCAACACCCCCTTTTTTCTCTTTGTGATTGAAAATGCATAACTCTTTTCAAAATCAAACTGTCATGTAGTGCATGCAGGCATTGTCTTTTTAATTCAAAGAAATAAAAGCCGATTAAACCCTATTTGCATAAGTAATGCGGTAAAAATCTTCCAAATATTGAGTGTGCATAATGAGTCAATACCTTATAGGCTTTACAATTTTTTTTAGATACATATTTCGGACCAAAACTAAAATGATCTATCTTTGTTGTTTGACATCTGTAGGAAATCTGACAAATATAGCGCCATATCTAAGGATATCTGGAGAGTTGTTCTATTCCAAGCCTCAATCTTCATACAGGCATGTCTACCACAACTTATCAGATATATCTGTCATTTGGATTTGGTTATAAGAAAACAGCCACACTTGAGCTTTTGTTTGGTTCCTATAAACTGCACAGATGTTTTACGTATTCACATGGCCATTAATTTTTTTACCCCCAAAAAACAAGTCTGGGTTATAACCCCAAACCCGGCCTTACCACCTGAAGAATTTGAAGCACTTTGCAGTCAGAGAAGTGGTATGTCTCCATGTGTGTTACTTTAACTTCAAAGATGTGGTTAAAAACAAAGGCATAGCATGAATTTAGAAATGACTGTACCACAGTCACTGGTATTCAAAAGCAATCAAAATTCCCATTAAACAAATGTGACACACACAAAGATTAAACATGTCTTAAAATATGAAGTTTTCTTCAGAATTTGCCTAAAGCTTTCATCAGAATGTCACTGATGTTTAAGAATGCATTCCTGAAGCCAAAGGCACATTACAGAAGCATTTCTTTGACTATGGCTGCCTCCTTGACAACAATGAGAATGGCTCCTGGAATTGATTTGACATGTTATAAACCCTGATCATTTTTTATCCCGTCCCTGCATGATTGCCAAATGGTACTTTTCTTATACAAGCCTGAAAGCAATTTATCTTTTCACCTTGGCTTGTAATTCTCTCA